TTCAGTTCTCATGTCTCATCAAGAATATCTGAGGTGCTATAGTTGAGCTGGAGATGAATGGGCCAATGTATGTTCAGCAAAGGTTGAGACTTTTGAATTTAGAAACTCTCAAATGGGAATTTATTTCAGGGAAGAACCAGAAACCACTAACATGATTTTATTTTAATGTGAGAAAAACAAGAAACTTTCAGAAATTTCTAAAGCAGGAAAAGTTAGCAGAAAGTGGAGGAAAAACATGGAAGTGACTGTGGTACAGGTAGTCCTTGACTTAACACCATAATTGAGTCCAGAATAATGATGGTTAATTGTGTCTGTCATTAAGTGACCAACCCAATTTTATGAAATTCTTTTTGGGCAGTCAAAGCAAATGTCATGGTTCTTAAGTGAAACTATTGTTCACAATGGGTTTTTTTAAAAAATAATTTTAAAAAAAATAGAAACTGAAAACAAATACCAATTTCTGGCAAAAAAAAAAAAAAACCAACAACCTGCAAATCACAGCCATATGACCATGGGATACTGCAAATGGCTGTAAATGAAGGCTGGTTGCTGACTGCTCAAAATGTAATCATGTGACCACAGAGGGGCAGACATCAGAACTTTAAATCCAGGTCATAAGTACATTTGGAGGTACTTTGGGGGTATCCATTGAAATCTTAAATGATCACTAAGTGACCAGTCATTAAGCAAAAACCAGCTGTAAATTACAATCAAAATATTATTGTGGGCCCTTTTTAAAATTAAAAAAAAAATCCTTTGCAGTGGGTCTATATCTACACTTTGAAATGATGATCCCCTATTTTCCAAAGCATTAGAAGGCAAGACAAGAATCAATGAATGGAAACTAATTAAGGAGAGAAGCAACCTACAGCTAAGGAGAAACTTCCTAACAATGAAAACAATTAATTAGTGGAACAGCTTGCCCTCGGAAATTGTGCATGCTTCATCACTGGATCACTGAGGCTTTTAAGAAGAGACAGTCTGAAATGGTATGGGGTCTCTTACTTGAGCAGGGGATTGGACTTAAAGACCTCCAAGGTCCAGTGGTAGGATTCAAATTTTTTTACTACCGGTTCTGTGGGAGTGGCTTGGTGGGTGTGGCTTGGTGGGCACAGCAGGGGAAGGATACTGTAAAATCTCCATCCCCTCCCCACACTACTAACCTTCTTTCCAGCTTTGTTCTCCTGTGAAGGGAAACAAAATAAGACCCAGCCGATCAGCTGGGACTCGGGAGGCAGAGAATAGATGGGGGCGGGGCCAGTCAGAGGTGGTATTTTGCCGGTTCTCGGAACTACTCAAAATTTCTGCTATTGGTTCTCCAGAGCTGGTCAGAACCTGCTGAATACCACCTCTGCCAAGGTCCCTTCCAACTCTATTATTCTGTACGCTGTATTCTATATTCCTTTTCCACTTGGGTTTGAATAAATCCACTCTGACTAAAAGCAACTTTGTGAAGCAATACATCTCTCTCATTTCTAAGAGTGAAACAAGCTTCCTTTTGGTCTGCACAGGAGCAATCTCAGAGGCCTTTTCTAGTATTTACAAAATCTAGAAGAGGCCTCTAAAGGAGTCTAAAAGTGTGTAAAAATGCAACGAATTTCCTTGAGGGAAACTGAGTTGCAACTTGCATCATCTTTTAGGCCAAAGTGCCTCACAGGTCCACATCCAAAAATCCTTGCTTAAGTTTATTTTCTATAGCTTTTCTTAAGCTACGGTGCACAAAAAAAGCAAGCATAGTTGGATTTTGCTGTTCTCTAGAAATGACTACTGTTCAGTTATTTCAGAAATCAGCATATGCAGCTCAATAATTTCCTTTCATTCATGTGGAATAATTATTATTTCCCAAATAATCCTTTCTGAATAGATTAATCGGATTCTTTGTGAATTAATACTGAGTGGTTTAACCTAAAAGTCAGAACATGAACTTTAGAAAGGGAATGATTTTATAGTTGTCAGAGGAAACGTGTACATTCTAGCTAGATTAGGATTGCTTTTAATATAACTGACGCTAAAAAACTAGAAAAATATAAACAATATCTTTTAATACTATATCTACAACCCCCTTCTAAATTCCTGTGTTTTTCTCTCCTCATAAGTATCCTGATAACAGTACCATATGTTTCCTGTTAATGTCATATACTTCATTTTCTACATTAATTTTTTTTTTCATGAATGTTACCATAGTAGATTAAAAAGGGAAATAAAATAGTGGTTGGTAAAGTATGTCTTTAGTTAGGCAAGATAGATTAGAGGGTTTGAAATGCTGAGAGGTAAGGAGGACCTAACAATTGTAATGCCTCCACTTTCCAAGTTGAACTGGAAGATATCAAAATAAGGTCTTCGGTTAGGAGAATGTGTTCCAGTGGAATGCTTGAATAGGCATATAGACCCATTGGTAGTATGCCAAGAGACAAAAGTTTATATTAAATTTAGATAGCAGAGTGCCAAAGAGCAATATACGTAGATTGTCATTTGTTGAAGCCTGAGTTATGATTAGAAGTTCATGCATTCCACACATCCTTGGGGTGCTGTTATTACAATAGGCTTTGGAAAAAAAATTGCTGGCATTATCAGATAAAAGACAAAGGCTAATGGAAAAAGGAAAAAAAATGTAACAAAACCAGATAAGCAAAGAGAATGATGAGCATTAATTGGAAGAATCTGTTCCATACTAGCAGGCTTGTAGGCCTGCATTCCTATTGGTCCGGAAAAGCCGGGCCGTGATTGGACAAAACTAAGCGTTCTGATTGGTTCTTATTCGGCTGCCGCGATTGAGTAAAACCAAGCGCGGCAAGCTCAAATGCATGTCATAGACTGCCTAGCCGCAGCCAGCTCTATAAAAGGAGCTGCCTCGGCTGGGAGTCTTGTCTCAGTATCTGGTTTCCTAATAAAGAGCTGTTGTCACTACTTCGAGTCTCGTCTCTCCTTGGGACCCACCGCCTAGACTTAACAGAATCTGCATTGTTCCAATATACTTTCTGGATCCCTTCACAAGTGGATTACTGCCTTCCTGTCAAACAGGCAACAAATAGTAAAAATAGAAAACCCTGCACCAGTTAACAGCAGTGTCCCCAAGGGAGCATTCTAGGATCCACACTCTTTACACTCTATATAAATGACCTTTGTGATCACCTTATAAGCAACTGCGTCCTCTTCACTGATGACCTAAAACTATTCAACACCACCGACAATGCTACCATCCTTCAAAGCAATCTTGATTATGTGTCTGAATACTCAAACAGTTGGCAACTACAAATCTCGACCAACAAATGCTCTGTCCTACATATTGGTTAAAAAAAAAATCAATATACCAAATACAAGCTAGGCGGTTATGACCTTATTGACAACCCTCACTCTGTCAAGGACCTTGGAGTTCTCACATCGAATGACCTAAGTGCCAGAGCACACTGCAACAGCATTGCCAAAAGGCTTTAAGAATTGTAAATCTAATCTTATGAAGTTTCTCCTCCGGTAATACTGATTTGCAAACGAGGGCATACAAAACCTTTGCTAGACCAATACTTGAATACAGCTCCACTGTCTGGAATCCGCACTGTATATCAGACATTAAAACAATTGAGCGTGTTCAGAAGTATTTTATCAGATGAGTACTATACTCCTCTATTCGCAACAGAATACCCTACACCACCAGACTTGAGATTCTAGGCTTAGACAACCTTGAACTATGCCAGCTAAGATTGGACTTAAGCATGTACATAAAATCATATGTTACAATGTCTTACCGGTTAATGAATATTTCAGCTTTAACCACAACAACACAAGAGCACACAACAGATGTAAACTTAATGTAAAGCACTCCAAACTTGATTGCAGGAAGTACGATTTCAGCAACAGAATGGTCAATGTCTGGAACTCACTACCTGATTCTGTTGTCACATGCTCAAACCCCCACTCCTTTACCCTCAAACTAATCTCTATTGACCTCACCCCATTCCTAAGAGGTCTGTAAGGGGCGTGCATAAGCACACAGTCATGCCTCTCATCCCTGTCCTATTGTCCCCAATTATTAGTTCCTATTTCTTGTATTTAAACTTATGTTTATTCTTATTTCTATCATATTGTAAGCATTTGACAAAATAAATAAATAAAATAAAAATAAATAAATACTTCCAGCAATAGTATTGCACTGGCCACATGGGAACCTTTGTTCTATGCTTCTATATAATTTAACAACAAAAGAAACAGACTAAGGTTCTAAGCATAAGATTGAGTTTCTAACTGTGTGTTGTTATATATTACTAGTCATGGAGATTATAGTCTTATGGAGCCATTTGTCTTCTGCCCTATCAACCTTCTTTGAAACTGATCACTGAACAGGATTCATATGACCTGGTCGTTAACATTCTCCTCTATCCTTCTAAACATTACAGATATGCCCATTTTGTGATAGGAGTCCAAACAAAATTTTAGCTACTATCCTAAACATATTCAGAGTAAGGCATTGGATTTGCATACATGTATAATTCAGGAACAGTCTTTATTATGGATAGAGATACAGATTTATTATGCATATATTATACTTCCTTGTCAGTTTGCAAAGTTTATTAGGTTCCATCTTAAACAGGGAATTTTATGTTGAGAAGGAGAATAGCAGTTTTCCAAGTAAGTTATGGTATTGTGCCCTTGTAGTTTGCACCTAGGTGGTGTCACATAAACTTCAATGCAAAGATGGTATTTCTGACTATGATTTTGTTCGTCTTTAGTTCTTATGGCATAGCCCCTTCTTATTTCCCTCCTTTCACATTATTATCTAACACAAAGCATAACTGGAAATATTTCAGCTGGTAATTTTGCTACTATAGCCTGTTATTATTATCCTTGTTTATTTATTTTTAATTGAGGAAAGAGGATCTGGAAAATGCTTCAGAGTATCCAAATCAAGCTATTTTTAGTGCTTCCTAAGGACCACAAAACTGCTATCATTGCTTTGTACCAACAGGCCAAAGTAAGTGCTTGAACTGCTCTGTCTATCACCCTAGGTGTGCAGAAGGCTATTTTGGACAACCTTCAAAACCAGGGGGATTGTGCCAGCCTTGCCAATGTAATGACAACCTTGACTTCTCCATTCCTGGCAGTTGTGACAGCTTGTCTGGAGCTTGTCTTAAATGTAAGCCAGGTACAACAGGCCAGTACTGTGAGAAGTGTGTTGACGGGTATTTCGGAGATGCTCTTGATGTAAAGAAATGTCAAGGTAAGTCCTGGAAACTTGCTTTTCCTGTCAAAATGCATTCATTCCCTGTAGGCATATCTCATGAGTGTGTCAGACAGTACGAGCATTTATTTGCATAACATTACATAGAATAAATCCATATTACACAAAGCAGGGCCATTCAGATTGTCTTGTTGGTTACCCACACACACACTCAATAGCCTGTTAATAGGTCATGATCTGTTGGTTTGTTTACATGATGCCATCCATATAATATTCCTTTTTATAGATATGACCCTTACTCTTCTATTCCTCTGTACCTCAGAGTTTTTTACTTTCTTTCTCTCATGAAGAGATATTATATCTAACTGTATATTATTCTTGCAGACCACAGCCTTTATTCCCCCTTTCACCATGCTTTAATCCCGTTTTGGAAGTGCCCCTTGCAATAAGACAAAGGAACTAAAAACACAGATAAAACATTGTATGTTTGCACATTTATAAAAACTGACTACCTCCATTTTTAGAAAGTGTTTGGAAATGAATCACCCCTGTAAAATTAATCACAATTAAAGTATATCTTTATGAGGAAGAGAGGTGTGAAGTGTTCTATTGTTATGACATATTTGTATGCCAGAGGTTGAGGAGCTGGAGTATCCTAGTATGAAACAAACATTGCTAAACCAGTTGGAAGCATATAGTCACTAAGGCTACAAAAATAATTTGAACAATTTCTCTGATTATTGCAATAGTGTAAAACTGGTATTTGAAGTGATATTTGATTCATTTCAAAAATTAGCAGGCCTTCTTTGGAAGTGATCCTAGATTATTTAGGATAAACTTAAGTATTGGTGCCAAATCTTTGAAAGGATGGAACCACTTCAGTGTTTTGAAGTGTTTTGCCAGAAAGTGAAAAAATTAATATTAATGCTAAAGGTTTTGTAGGAAACTGCATGAATTTACTTCAGACAATGTAACAAAATACTTAAAAATTATTTAAAACCAAACACATTCTAATGTATAAGAGGGTAGAATGAATTTAAATTTAAAAAGAAAAAGAAACTAGATGAAATTGAATTGGAAAAAAATAAAGTACGACTAATCCTTGCCTGAACTGTAATTTTTGGCTAATTTGTAAAAGGGCTCAGAAGATAGCAAGAAATTCAGGGCAATTTGCTGAATAAATAGTTAGGAAGTTCTGTATCAGACAAAATGAGTATGATACTCCCCAACGTGATTTCTATAAAACCAGTTCCTTTTTTCAGTTACCTTTTAAAGTTTTATATATTGTGGAAATAAATAAATAAAGCCTCGAAAATAAAACAAAAACCTAGAGATACTCACCACTGCCTATATTTGTTTCTGTGATATTCTCATTTGTCCATTGTTAAGTTTTCCCTTGATCATTGTTGCAACCACAGCTGTTGTCTGAAGATGAGCTCTCTTACTGTAATTACTCTTACTCTTACTCTTGACCCTTTCTGCAAAGTTGCAGATCTGTTGAAAAAACACTCCTATTCCTCATTCCTAGTTCCATAATTAAAATATCTATTTTATATTCCAGTGTTTCCCAGTATATAGACAAGTGGCTTGTGTTGTGTTCTTCATTGTCTTCATTGTCTAGTGTATAGCTCTTAAGATATTTCGGGTGTAGGTGTCATCTGACTCTGCTAAGATTCTGATGACTTACTTGTTAAAGATACCAACATCAAAGTCCCAAATTTGAAAAATCAAGATGGAATTATAATTCCCTTCATTGCATTAATGTTTCTTGAGTCACAATTGAAGTACTCAATGACAACTCTAAACTCTAATTCTGACACTCAACATTTTTCACAGATTCAGATATATAAGGGGTTATTTTACAGATATGTACAAATAGTTTTAATTTTGCCTGTGACTTTATCCTTAGGTAAAGTATGGGTTGTCTATTTTTCATGGAACTTTGGTTAAAAATTCCGTGGCTTATTTGCAAATATATATGGAATATATGGGTTATTTAAACAAGTATTACCACATATACTCATGGATAAAGCCACCAGGATAAGCCATTACACAATTTGAGACATGTATTTTAGCATCTAAAATTCTCAAATTATTCATGACTCATGGGTATATATGGCAAATATGCTCATTTATATCAACTCAACTACATCCAACCATAGATAAACATTTGATTTTTCATTGCTTTTTAATTTAATAAGAAAAATGATCTATAAATAAACAATATCCTGATTCTACATCCTGATAGATTGATAGATTATGTTATCTGTAGAAAAAACTACTTTCCAGAGCCAATTTTTTTGCCAATTTTCAAATATCAGTTTTTTAAGGGAATAATATATTTGGGGTTTATTTTAAGAAACACTGTCCCTTATAATATCCATATGCAACATTTGGATTGAGATATTACCTGGAACTAATAAGGAAGAACCTTATTCTGGGAACTAGATTCTGGGAACCTTATTCTGGGAACTAGATTAAGGAAGAACCTTATTCTGGGAACTAGATTTACTCAAAGGAGTAAGGTGGAAAGGTCTTTAGTGAATGGTCATATATGCTCCATTTAATACTTAAATAATATTTTACAGTTTTTTTGAACAGAGGAGGAAATCCATAGGTCAGGCAGGTACAAATTGTCATTTGTCACCATGAATGTAAAGGTATTGCACTAGCGTTTTTCAACTTCAGCACTTTTAAGATGTTTCAACTTCCAGAATTCCCCAACCATCATGCATAATGGTTGGGGAATTATGGGCTGATATTGAAAAACATATTTGCACTTTGATATTATTAGACAGTTCTGGTTCTTCCATTCTAATTCAGGAAAAACAAAAAACATATGTTGGGCTGCCACAAATGCTGGTTGCTTTATTAAACTGAGTAAATTACAAGTGGCATAAGGCCATCATAGGGTCTGACACAAAGGATTAATTAGTCTGTGTATGGATCAGATTATTGACTTAATTTGTTAGGCTTTTTTATAACCTGGAAGCTACCGGTAAATGAAGAATTGTGTCTTTATGGGTTAATTCCACTTCTTCAGCTATTAAAAGATGATAAATGAGAGAAAACAATATTCCTCTTTATTCCCTTGCTAGGTATTCTAGAGTCTTTTACTTGTATAAGAACTTGTATACGAACTTTTACTTGTATAAAAACTGTGGAGATTAGCTGGATGACAGGCTGTAAATCATAAAGCAGGAATTGATTTGTAATTTATGAACATCCCCTTCTCCAGAAGTTGATCTTTTCTACCTTCTGTTCATTAGCGTAAGATAATTTAAAATGTTACAGAAGTTAGATTACTAAACTCTTGCAAAAGATTGCCAGCAAATGTTTTATGTATACAGTACTATACGTATGTGTGCTATGGATGTTCATTATCATCTCATTCCAACCTGTTCTTGTCTACCTCAAGCCTGCAGCTGCAATATTAATGGCTCATTTTCAAAAGTCTGTGACTCTAAGACTGGACAATGTCATTGCAAACCCAATGTTCTGGGACGTCAGTGTAATCAGTGTAAGGTAAGACACCAGAATCTGATGCAATCTTAATTGTTCCATTTCCCATCTTTTATGGAATAGAAGAACTTTTCTATATACATAAAATGCTATTGGTATTTTTACACACATGGCAAGTTATGTTATGTGACTTTCTTTTCAGTCTTAAAATCTTAGTCTTCATTGTGCTTCTGAAACACTTCTATTTGCTAAATAAATGAAATTATTTTTCTGGCACAAAATCTATCCTCCTTTAGAATCTAAAACAAAATAAATATATCATGATTATTTTATTTACGCTCACAAAAGGGCAAGGAATAATTTTCATTAAAAATATTGACATAAGAGTTTACTTGTTTTTAAAATATTCAAGTAACTGAACATACAGACATCTTTTTCTCTGTGGTGCGATAAAAATAATCTTTTCTGTTTTTTTCTGAGATGGAATACCATTCATTCATAAAGCACTATGGTGGAGGGAAGTACTAACTGTGCAATCTTATGTATATTTCCTGTATAGCAAAGGCCTTTCTATGTATTGTAACCAATCATACAAACAATGGTGAGCATCCTGGATTCTCCAAACATTAACCTGTGATATGAGTTAAAAGCAGATATTTGCCCTTTCAGCAGAACTATGCCATGAGATGTCTATTTTGATATACACAATATATAAAATACTATATATCTCTATGTATATATAAAATGTATTTACATGCCTTTCATTGGATGATCTTAGGAAATATTTGCTGAGGAGATTTTAAAGTTTATATTATATAGAATATATCAGTAGATCTAATTTTCTTTTCCCAGATACAAAAATAGAAAATATATAAGGAAATAAGAATAAAGAATAACTCCAATGCCTTTCTGAAACCTGACAATACAGTGATGAGCACAAGGTTCACACATAAGTGTTTAATATTAAATTACTGATATCTCCTCATCAGTGAACATGCCTACAACACATGCATCTTGATCGTAATGATATACAGTACTTATATTTTTTTCTCATGAAATGTAAATGCTTAAAGCTCTTGATATTGGCCTTGAAGCATTTAGAATAGAATATTGTAAAATAGCTAGAGCAAGCAATCAAGTATATCCTGAAGCTAATAAACAGGTAATTAGTCAGAGAGTAATTATGAAATTAGAGAGTAATTAAAGCATGAGTGTTTTAGGGAATATCATTGTTTGTTTCTACTAGACATTTGTCCATATCTCCTGTATGGCTGTTTAAAATTGAACAGCAGGAAGTATGAGGAGGAATCATCAGTATTCCATAACTTTAAAAATAAAATTTCAAAATATGATTTCCAGAATTCTTACTAATATTTGCCAAACAGTTCTGCCAAAATGTTGAAATTTCAGGGAAGCCTCTTATTGTAAGTGATGTAAATGAAAACAAATCTTATTGAAAATCATTCACAGCAACATTTGATTGGTTTTATAAGTAAAAATCAATGCTTGAAGTATAGAAAATATGCTATAATAGTAATATGATTGGCCCTGATATTTAGCTCTACAAATCTTTGGTATTTCTGGCTTTTATTCTCATGATATCTACTCTACTGACATTTCGTATATATTCACTTCTTGCTTTCCTTCCCTCTTCCTCTTCAAAAGTCCACTTACTTTTGGGCTCCAGAAAAGCAATTCTGCATTCCGTGTGGCTGCAATCCAGTAGGATCCATGTCCTTGAACTGTGATGTGTCAGGGAGATGTATTTGTAAATCTGGATTTGCTGGTAAACGGTGTGAACTGAGCAGGCAGGTGTACATCAAGAAAGGGAAGCCATCGAACTCCCGACACACGAAAGCACCCCATCAAAGATGGGGCTCTCCCACTGCAAGTGGGTGCCCAAGGGGTGCTTTCAAGTCTTCTGCTTTGGTAATAAAACATGATACATTCTGCATGTGTTGCATTTTGGCATGTGTTTGTGCTGGGTTGTGCTATCCAAAACCCTGAAAAGAAAATCAATGTCCTGTCAACTTTCAAAACAAGGCTGAGAAAATTATGATGATGGAACGATAACCTTCTGGGAACAGAGCCTCCACCTAAATTATTAAAGAATTCCTTTTACAAACACCTCACAACAGTACTTTTTACATTAATATACAGTATAGCCAATTTTAGTCTTAAAATTAATACCATTAATACACCAGAAATTCAAAGAAATTCTAAAGAAATCCAATATAATTTCAATTTTTTTCTTTAAAAAACTATGAATGAGGTATATCCTCCTTTTGAGAAATTGCACACATTGTAATGAAGTCATTGCCACTTTATTACCCTACAAATTGTTAAGCTGCTCCCCAAAGAGTGCTTTAGAGCAGTGTTACTCAGCTTTGGCAATGTGAAGATGTGTGGACTTCAATTCCCAGAATTTCCCAGACAGTTGATAAAGTTGAGAGACACTGCTGTAGACTCTTGTAAAATGTGAGATGTTCTTGAAAGTCAAATGTGATAGAGACAAGTGCTTTGTTTTGCAGCTTGTCAGCTTTCCATTTAATTTTACATGTTTTCGTGTTAAAATATTGTAGCAGAATTCAAGGGATGTGGAACAGCGAATCTGATGAACCATAAATGAACTCTCTGATTTGATTGGCCCCCCTGCAGTACATAGATATAGGCAGATTCTTGTGATTCCCTTAGGCAACCATTGCTTCTGCTGACCTTTTGCTACAAGTAACATGAACAGACATGGTTGTTCACTGCCAGATGAATTTATATGCTTTTCTGCATGATATTCTTAAGCATTTGCAGTGTTGTTCTAAATCAGAGGGAGCTACAAGCCAGAAATAACAATATTTCTGGCATAGCAGAATCTGTGTTAAAAGAAACAATGAACTTCTTCTCAATGGATCACAATCCCTTGAGCTACTTTATACTAAACCAAGAGTTTAAAGGTGCCCAAGGGAATTCCTTAGTCTTGTATATTGAATGGCAGATCTTCCTGCAGTTTCACTTTGCAATCAAACTCTGAACCTCTCCTCACTTTTAAAGATGCTGCATCATTGATTGGATGAAGAGAACCTGCTATTCTAGCTGTAGTTCCAAAACTTCTTGGAATTCACCATTGGAACTGAGCTTGTTTTGAATGTAGGAAGCCTTAAGATAGGTAGTCCTTGACTTATGAACACAATTGAGGCCAAATTTTTTGTTGTTAAATAAGTGAATTTTGCTCCGTTTTATGGACATTCTTTGCCACAGTTGTTAAGTGAAGAGCTCCAGTTAGTAACATGGCTGTGAATCTGGCTTCCCCACTGATTTTACTTGTCAGAAGATTGCAAAAGGTGATTGCAAAAATTGTGATCATGTGACTTTGGGGGGTGCTGCAGCAATTGTAAGTATGAAAAACGATCATGTCATTTTTTTTCAATGCCATTGTAACTTTGAAAAGTCACTAAATTAACTGTTGTAAGTCGAGGACTACCTGTATTAAACAGAAGATGAAATTTATTATATTATTTACTACCTTCATGTGAACAAAGTAGATAAAACATAGTTTTAGTTAACAGATACAGAGGTATTTAAAAATTGGATTTTCAACAGTTCTGCATAAATATGATTTAAAATGTGATCTGCCATCCACACAGGTCCTAAAACTAGATAAAGAGAATCCAATTAAACAAATAAGTCAAAAACATTGTACTTGTTCATTGATTTATTGAGGAAAATGAAGCCCCTCTCCCTCTCTCTCTCCCCCCCTCTCTGTCTCTCTCTCTGTCTCTCTGTCTCTCTGTCTCTCTCTCTCTCTCTCTCTCTCTCTCTCGTGTGTGTTTATTGTTTATTTACGGCATAAGTGTGTGAACCTCTAGGATTATTGGTTCATTTGAATAGAAATTCACACAAGAATCTTATAGCAAAGAATTTTATTCTAAAGGATAATTTATTTTCTTATTTTCAGCCTTTAAACAGGACATTGTCCAACTATTTATTAAAATTGCATGCTGATTATTCCTGCTTCATTGAATTATTCTGAATTATTCTTGAGAATGTTCAACTTTGGTTTTGGTTTGGGTTTTTTCTCTCTCTCTCTCTCTCCTTTTTCTTTTTTGCCTGTTTCTGCATCATAAGAAGAGATAAGAGGGTAACATAAGAGGATAAGGATACAGTATTTAATTAAACCTTAATTGCATCAGTGAAGCTTTTCCTCTCCTTGCTAAATATAGCAACCATCCCAGTAGACTGAAAAGAAGAAATGTCTATAAAATGTGAATGTTTATTGTTTTAACCTGGCTTCCTATCAAGAAACAGATTCAAGCTTTACCTGATTATCAGGATGCCAAGCAGATCCGTAGTTAAGGCAGAATAACGGTCTGATGTATTCTGTGGACTGGTGTATGTTTTTATGCTTTGTAATGGTAACTCAAGGAGCTATTGCAAATTCCTTAAAGGCAACATTTTATATAAGATACAGGTATCTTTGTGAAATGTTTTTATTGTAACATATTTATTTTTTTTAAAAAATAAAAGATATGCTTTTGCATTGTGGTATTTAACAAATACCGTGTTTCTCCAACAATACGGCCTCCACCAATAGGAAGCCCCAGCATGATTTATTGGCATAAAATCAAATTAAGCCCCTCCCCCCAAATTAAGGCCCATATTAAACATGCGAAATGGGGGGGGGAATGGTGGGGGGGGGGCTTGCCGTTAGGAAGTACTTTGTTGCATGCCCGGATATGGTGCTGCCTGCGTTGGTGGAGCACTTCATATCGGGAGACCTTCCGCCACCGTTAATTTCCCTTCTCCCTTGCTGCCGTAGCGTTACAGCAACGCCACGGCGTTTGGCGCAGCCACGTGCAGCCAGTCAGGGCTCCTCCCTGCAACCGGAGCCCTGAGGAGACACTTGGCTTCAGGCGCTCCTGTGGCCAAGGGCCTCCCCTTTGCCTTCGATGGTAAAGTGAATTATTTTAAAAACCTCCGCTCATCCTATCAGGGCCGTGCGAGCTGAGCAGAGCCGGGAAAGCAAGCCGCGGGTGTTTCCTGGTTCTGCCCAGCCCGTACGGCTCTGCCGCGGCCCTGGCGGGATGAGCAGAGGTTTTTAAAATAATTCACTTTACCTTCGAAGGCAAAGGGAAGGCGGCCACAGGAGCGCTAGAAGCCAAGTATACCAACAACAAAAGGCAAATCCTCAAGGTGGGCTGGAGGGAGGTGGCTACGTGCCCCCCGGGCTGCTTCAATGCAAGGTCCTGACTTGCAGCATCCTGCTTTTCGCCGCCGCCTCCCTCTCCAACTGCGAAACTCGTGTGCTTCGCCAAACGCTCCGAGCGAGGCAAGCTCTTTCATACATAGAGAGAGAGGGAAAGACGCCGGCGTGCTCCGAGAGGCTGACTCTTTTCTCTAGCCGAGGCTGACATCTGACTGAATCTCTATCCCGCTCCTTTATCCTCACGACGGGGTCGGCAGTGACGCTCTCTGGTGCGGCCACCTCAGCTTGCCAGCCTTGCCCCGCTATGAGACGATACTGTGACAGCCGCTGCTGCCGCACTCCCTTCTCTTTCCTCGCCTCTCCTCCCTTCGCCGGCAGGAGTGTGCGTGCCTGCTGCCACTGCCGCCGCTCCTGAGGCCATCTGGGGCGGGCAGGTGGGAAAGCAAGCAAGGTGGCTGCGCTGTCTTCTTTTTCCCTCAGCGAAGCGCCGCCACTTGCCGCCGCCACCGCCACCGCCACCTGCGATGGGCGAGGAGGCGGCGGAGGCACCCGAAATGTCACCAAGGCAACAAGTGCCTCCCCGCCGGGCCCTCCGCTCATCCCGCCAGGGCCGTGGCAGAGCCGTGCGCGCTGGGCAGAACCAGGAAACACCCGCGGCTTGCCTGCCACGGCCCTGGAGGCACTTCCTGTCAGCCTCGGCTAGAGAAAAGAGCCAGCCTCTCGGAGCACGCCGGCATCTTTCCCTCTCTCTCTATGTATGAAAGAGCTCGCCTCGCTCGGAGCGTTTGGCAAAGCACACAAGTTTTGCAGTCGGAGAGGGAGGCGGCAGCGAAAAGGACGCGGCGGCAACGGCAGGATGCTGCAAGTCAGGACCTTGCATTGAAGCAGCCCGGGGGGCACGTAGCCACCTCCCTCCAGCCAACCTTGAGGATTTGCCTTTTGTTGTTGGTATACTTGGCTTCAGGCGCTCCTGTGGCCACCTCCTGTGGCCGCCTTCCCTTTGCCTTCGAAGGTAAAGTGAATTATTTTAAAAACCTCCGCTCATCCCGCCAGGGCCGCGGCAGAGCCGTACGGGCTGGGCAGAACCGCGGCAAAACACCCGCGGTTTGCTTTCCCAGCTCTGCTCAGCTCGCACGGCCCTGATAGGATGAGCGGAGGTTTTTAAAATAATTCACTTTACCATCGAAGGCAAAGGGAAGGCGGCCACAGGAGCGCCTGAAGCCAAGTGTCTCCTCAGGGCTCCGGTTGCAGGGAGGAGCCCTGACTGGCTGCACGTGGCTGCGCCAAACGCCGCGGCGTTGCTGTAACGCTACGGCAGCAAGGGAGAAGGGAAATTAACGGTGGCGGAAGGTCTCCCCAACATCCAAGCTGTCGCCGCCCGCCCACCCGAGGATGCAAGGGGGGGGGAAATTAAGTCACCCCCGAAAAGACGGCCTAGCCGGTTTTTCGGGGGTCAAAAAAAAATAAGGCCCGGCCTTATTATGTGAGAAACACGGTATATATTAATGAGACTTCATGTACACATTTTGAGTTCATAAAATTCAAAATGGATTGATTTGAATTTCATATTTTGACATTTACAAATGTATTTTAGGCTGAAGGTATACAACTTTAAAACATAAAATATGAATGTGGTTAATGTGATAGCATCATTTGGCTATACGTGAAAATGACAGTGTTTATCCATTCTAATTTATTTTGGTTGTCTAAGCTGGGGGGGAAGTAAAATCATTCCTTTCTACATTTATGTAGTTTTTTTCAAATCTGTGTGTTCCTCCCTCTTTTCTCTCTCCTTGTTTTTATTTCTGCTAATTGATTATCCTTGTCTCTACTGTGACAGTCTGGTACCTTTGGTGTGCAGTCATCAAGAGGATGTCTCCCTTGCAATTGTAATTCATTTGGATCAAAATCATTTGACTGTGATGAAACCGGACAGTGCCACTGTCAACCAGGTGTTGGAGGAAAGAAATGTGACCATTGTGCTCATGGATTTTATGGTTTTGAGGAAGGAGGATGCACCCGTAAGTATATAATCAAGCTTCATTTAATAGCTAATAGCTTTGTGGGAGAGGAAGGGTTTTTTAAAATGGTCTTCCAATGGGCATCATTTTTACTATGGAGTTTAGCTCTAGGCAAAATTGATTTCACATAGGACAGTTTTTATTTTTATTTGAAAACTTGGACAAAGTATTTTCAGACATGCAAGACAATCAACATTTTAAAGAAGCAAATAAAATGTCTGTAATTAAACTATATAACTATCAAGCAGACATCATATTCTTTAGAGCAAAATGGGCATGAGACGTTATAAACAATGAAAAAAATTATATAGTGATTCTATGCACAAGTTGTTGAGTTAGAGAGAATAGAAAGAACACCATAATGTCTAAGCAAGGAATGATTAGTTTTGGGCTGGCTCCCTTTTAAGGAATTCAGATGTTGTAATTACTTTGCTCACTGTGTTTAATATACTGTTTAATATTCTTAACAGTAAGTCAGTCATTGAAATTATTTCCTTTGCACGGAAATTATTTCTTTTGCAGTTTACATTTCCTAATATCTACTGTAAAATAAAATAAAATTTCACTTTATATTAGAACAATTATTTAAAAATAATTGCTATATTTATCCAGCACTGACCTATATTGTTGATGTATGATCCTGTTTTAGAACTAAGGATGCTCAAAAAATTAGATTTTAAGACATTGTAATATGAACTATTTCTAGCTGATGTTCAGATCAGAATATAATTATGGGTGCTATGAATAAACTGATTTGAAAGAAGTGCTTCCAAACTAACTCAATTGCTCATTTGTTGTTTCTTTTTTTGTTCATTAACCACAAAAATTGTGTTTTTTTCAGGTTACCTTATTAAAGAGCAAAAAATATTGAAAATAAAAAAGGTTAACAAAGTGGACAGTGGTGATTTAATGAATAGCAAATCAGGGTTGTGCTCTCATAAGATGAAATGAACTTTTTTCAAGGATCCAAGTGCATATTAAATTACTAATTTTAATACATGTATACGTTATGCATTTTTAATTCAGATTATAAATCCTTTTATTAGACAAAGCACTAAAATGCATATATTTAAAAAACAGCAAGAATGAACTGAGGAAAGAGAAGAAAAGGATCAATTCTATTTTAAAAATTCCTTCCTCACTCCTATAGGGACCCCTCATATGTCATCTCAGGTCCTCCACCAGAGGTCTAGGAGTTGGAGAGTATTGTATACAGGATATTAATTGTCCACAGCACTGCACTCTTCTGGACAGAGAGCTTTGATGTGGTTCCTGGGATCTGTTGAGCCACTCTCCCAGCTTAAGAGCCACAGCCCCAAGTGCTCCTACCACTGATGCGACCACTTTGATCTTTGTTTTCTGCATCCTCTCTAGTTCCTCCTTCAGGCCTTAGAATTACTCCAGTTCCTCATACTTATTCCTGAAGATGCTGTCACTTGGCACAACCACATTTATCATCACTGCTATTGTTTGGTCCTTATCTACTGCCTTGATATTTAGTTGATTGGCCAATAGCTGCCTGTCCACCTGGATCTAGAAGTCACATAGAATCATAGCCTTTTATTCTCCACAATCTTCTGTGACATCTCCCTTCTCGACTTGGGAGGTTCTAGCCCAGAGTTCCCCAACATTTCTGGGAGCAGGGGGAGGAGAGAAAGAGGTGATGATTTTGTGGGAGGGGTAAATGCATGTGGATGTGCAAGTGTCTGCAACTTTCACCGTGTGAGTGGAGCTGGGTGCATGTGTGGAATGTGTGCAACAGCCAGCTACTCATGTGGCCCAGTGTATGTATATACACTGTAAATTATATGTAAATTGTATGTATTGGCTAAAAGAATGTAAAAATACATGTGCTCTGGATCAGTGATTTTAAAAAAAATACAATTTATGAGAGAAAATATATGAAGTAAGTAATAAAGAAAAATATTAAATGAGTATATTGGGGAAAGTATGCATAAAAATAACAGATAACAAATTTGGAAGGGACCTTGGAGGTGTTCTAGTCCAACCCCCTGCTCAGGCAGGAAGCCCTATGCCATTTCAGACAAATGGTTGTCCAAACTCTTCTTAAAAACTTCTAGTATTGAAGCATTCAAAACTTCTGGAGGCAAGTTGTTCCACTGATTAATTGTTCTAACTGTCAGGAAACTTCCCATTAGTTCCAGGTTGTTTCTCTCCTTGATTAGTTTCCATCCATTATTTCTTGTCCTGCCTTCTGGTGGTTTGGAAAATAAGTTGGACCCCTCTTCTTTGTGGCAGCCCCTCAAATATTGGAATAGAACACTGCTGTCATGTCACCCCTAGTCCTTCTTTTCATTAAACTAAATGCAAGCTTTTTTAAAAAAAATTTACACAGTTGAGAAACTACACTAAACTAAAATCAGCTTCACAAATGAATCTGAGTTAGAATTAAACTAATCCATGGATCTGTATTTAGAGCACAACCCTATATGCTTAGCCATATGTTATTTTCAGTGATGTTTATTTACAAATACATATGGAAGGAAAGCTATCTTATTAAACAAGGAGCCTGGTTCTCTGCATCCCTATTCAGAATTAAATAAAATTGAATTAAATGGGACCTTCTCTACCTTGCCTATACAATTGCAATCTAAATTAAACCTTGGCTGAACTTGTCTGGTACTCTAAAGTCTATCTTCAAAACATCAAATAGGCTCCTCCTATTCAAATGTCCAGTTTTTTTTGTGGTAACACTGAGTAATAAGAATCCTCCTCCTGATTATTCTGAAGAATGACAGTAACCTCAAGGCTATTGAGGGATAACTTAGTGTGATCCTTCTGTTAACTAGTGAAAAGCAAATATTGTTGGTGAGATAGATGCATTTTAAGATTTCTGCAGATTATATTCAGAACCATGACTCAATTCTTGTAGAGACCTAGAAATGAAAGCGTGAACCTATAAAGGTGTGTTTATTGTCATGTTAATGTTCAAGCATGACAGCGTTTGGTAAGAATAAAAGGTCGTTTCTTGGATTCATTGAAAAGAAACACATAAAATGAAAAATAAATGATAAATCTAGTATTAAAGAACTTAGCATAAAAGGAGATTGAACAAGCACACCAGGAATTACTGTGGTTTGTCATTTTTGTGGCACTTGCAGGTCTGTAGGTCTGCTGTTGGTTTTGTTATGAAAACTTTCTATAACCATTTGTCACTGTTTGAATGACCATGTTTGATCCATCAACCTCCATTATTTTCTATGATATAGTGTTGGAAATAAATGATGCACTAACGGTTAATGAATGCATCTTAAACAATGCATCGGCATACAGACAAAAATAATCATCAGTAGAATAGATACCACTATTCTGTGCAAAATGGACAAAAATGGCACAGTCCTAATAGGTTCTAACTGCAGTATACAACATCCTGATCTTTTCCATTTTCTCTCCTGGTCAACAATGTATGCTTTTGAGAAACATTCCTTAGACTCTGGTAAAGTTCGTACAGACATCCTTGAATGACTATACTAATTGTGTATTCCTAGATATTCTCTATTTGACCAGGAGAAATAGATCAAACAATTGTGCTTATTTTAAAGCCAGTCTATTTATGCTTCTTTTGTATGCAGTAGAATAAGAAAATAAGATCTTTTTTCTTTTTATCTTGCAAGGTAACATTTTCTTTAAAAAGTCAATTAAAATTAAAGGAATATAATAAACAGAGCAAACATTATGAATATGAGCTCCATACTGGAAGTTAAATATAGAAAACATATTGAACCTAGTATAGAAATGTTCTTGCAAAAAAAAAAAAGAATTCTATATCAAGCTGTGTGCACAAGGATTATCTTTATTTTCTCTACCAAAGTGCAATTTTTACTTTGCAAGGAAAAAAATGTGGACTTTAATGTCAGTCTTTCCCCAGCTTGTTGTAGCACTAACAATATGACTTGAAAATGATAACATTAATTCTTCAATATATTGGATAGATGTATAGCACATGCTGGCTCAGGAACTAACTGTGGGAAATTTCATCACCGCATTGATCATGTTTGTGCCTAGTAGAGGAAAATCTGTGGGATTCTTGGTGCTCTATGGTGACTCATTATCCAACTTTGTAACATCATCCTACCGGTTTTTAAAACTTGTGGCTTCTCTCTCTCTCTCTCTCTCTCTCTCTCTCTCTCTCTCTCTCTCTCTCTCTCTCTCTCTCTCTCTCCTCCCTCCCTCCCTCCCTCCCTCCCTCTCCCTTTTTCTCATTCTCCCCTTTCTCTCTCTCTCTCTGTGGGCGAGTGAGTATGTGTATGTAAGACAACACATGGAATACTGCATCCAGTTTTCGTTTCCACATTACAAAAAAGATGTTGAGACTTTGGAAAAAGTGCAAAGAAGAGCAATTAAGGAACTGGAGACAAAAAGGGTGTCCTTAATCAAAAAGGATGATTAAGGGCATAGAGACAAAAACATATGAAGAACGGTTGCAAGAATTGGGTATGTCCAGTCTAGAGAAAAGCAGGGATAGGGATGACACGATAGCAGTGTTCCAGTATTTCTAAGGCTGCCACAAAGAGGAGGGGGTCAACTTATTTTCCAACACACCAGAAAGCAAGGCAAGAAATAATGGATGAAAACCACTCAAGGAGAGAAACAACCTGGAATTAAGGAGAAACTTCCTAATAGTGAGGACAATTAACCAGTGGAACAGTTTGCCATCAGAAGTTGTTGGTACTTCATCACTGGAAGATTTTTTTTTTTTAAAAAAAGACTGGACAACCACCTGTCTGAAATTGTATAGAGTCTCCTACTTGAGCAGGGGGTTGGACTAGAAGACCTCCAAGATCCCTTCCAACTCTATTCTGATTGATTGATTGATTGATTGATTGTGTGTGTGTGTGTGTGTGTGTGTGTGTGTGTGTGTGTGTCTTCCTATCATTTTATGGATGTGCAGGGTCCAATTTTTTCAGACCAACCAAATACTGATCCATTGGTCAGGAATAGACTAACTGGCTTGTCATCTGAGTCTGACATTGCCCACTGAGAAAGAGTGACTGGCCCAAATTCACCAGCTACCTTTCATGCCTAAGGTAGAACTAGAACCCACCATTTCTTGGTTTCTAGCCTGGTGCCTTAACCACTACACTAAAGTGGCTCCTCTATGTATGTTTATATGTGATATATCTCCTATTCCTGTGTTGTGCAATAGGCAGATAGGCATGGATATAACTTACAAATTAAAATATGTAGCCACTTTGAATGTGTGAATCTTCTGCTATTATTTAATTAGGTTGGAGTTAATTTCTGGAGAATCAACTTTCATTGTTGTACCTGATGTGAAAAGTCTAAAAGCCCCGAATCTAAATTTCCTATCACTCAATGATTTGTCCCTTCTAGTACAGCAAGACAGAGCCATCAAGGGTATCTCTTTTTCACAAAGAAATTTACAGTTATATTAATGCAAATAGCCTTGAAAAACATGCATTTTTAGATTAAGACTAAGTAGGAATTCTTTATTCAGTGCACAGCCTTCTGATAATGAGTTTACATGTGGAATTTTATTTTTAAAGTTAATTGTATTTTCAGTCATGAAATAGTGCCTGTTATCCCAATTTAAATATATAAAACTGTGGAGACTGATGATTTAAACTGTTATATCTTGCAAAAACAAATATGATTTAAGGATAGAGAAAAAAGAGAATTGGATTAGCTCTGCAGAATTGATGGACATTTTAAAATATCATCTGTCCATTATTTTCACCGATTCTTCCTTACAGATTAATACATTGCCTAGTTAAAACTCCATAACAAGACAAAAGTACAATAAATACTGGGTTCCAACCTAAGGTAATAATTTTGGTGTTTGTTTTTTTAACATCAATTCCATTGCAGTTATTTGGAAGTATTTATTATTAGGTATTATGCTAAGCACAAAGATATAGGTTTGCTATCTGCTTACTTTGCAAATATTTAAAACAGAATCACTATTCTCTTTATTTCATTCATTCCAAGAAAAAAAGATAAATGAACAGCTAGCATGCTAAGAATAGCAGGTTTTATGTTCTCTTATTTCCGAAAAGTTGCTGTTTGGAACAGGATCTACATAACTGTTGAGGGGGGGAAATAAAATAACCCTGGTTGAAGTTCATTCCCTGGGGAATATAACCCTGAGTGTGTGATTAACAAAACCCATTAAGGGTATATAGAAATAATTGCTTAAGTTCCCAAAGGTATCTTAAAGAAGCCACATGCTATGATAGAGAGCTGGTTTCTCTAATGAGGGGCAAAAGAAAAGAAGAAAGGACTCTTTCTATCGGAAATGGACTGAAGGAAAGAACCTTAGAATACAGCAAAGTTCTGAACCAATACAAGTAGTCCTTGACTTACAACAGTTCGTTTAATGACCATTCAAAATTACAACAGCACTGAACAAAGTGACTTATGACCATTTTTCACACTTAAAACCATTGCAGTATCCCCATGATCACGTGATCAAAATTCAGATGCTTGGCAGCTGATTCCTATTTATGACGGTTGCAGTGTTCCAGAGTTATGAAGTTTGCAACCTTCTGACAAGCAAAGTCAATTGGGAAGTCAGATTCAGTTAACAGCTGTGTTACTAACCGAACAACTGTAGTGACTCACTTAATGACTATGGCAAGAAAGGTCATAAAATGGAACAAAATTCACTGAAGAAATGTCTCGCTTAGCCACAGAAATTTTGGAGTGAATTGGGATCATAAGTCAAGGTCTATCTGTAGCTGCTCCCTTTCATGCCACAAATGTCCTCAATGAGAGCTAGGTTAAAATTATTAAATGTTAATAATAAGAAGTGGGTTTATCTTCTTGAGTTATTGTTCAAAATACATTGAATACATCGTTCAAAATATTTTTAATGGTAACTCAAATGATAAACCCACTTCTTTGTCCTACTTCCTTCTGGTACTCATCATGACCATATTGGAATGTCACTGATTTATTATTTTACTAGCCCACGATTGGATAAACTTTCACAGAGAATAGTATCAAATGCTGAAAATTATTCTCTGCAGTATATATAGAGTAGTGTATTCCATGTTTTAAAATGCTTGTCTTTGTCTTTCTTAATCCTCTTCCATGAAGCTTGTCAATGTTCCCATCTTGGTAATAATTGTGACCCACATACGGGCCGTTGCATCTGCCCTCCCAATACTACAGGGAACCGATGTGAAAAATGTGTACCGAACCACTGGGGTCATGATATTATCAGTGGATGCAAGGTGAGTGTTTCTTTTCTTTCTTTTTCCACTGTCCTAACTTTAGGAAGTTATACCAGATAAAGTTGTCTTGCATATCCTTGAAGTTGTGTTTTAACTAGAACTGGCATAGTATGCACAGAAATGTCATATACGCACATATTGTGAATCAGTTCTTATAGTTGAAAGCAAAAGAACATATAGTAACCTATATAATTACACTTGGATACAATTTATCCCAACAAAGCGAAATGTTGCTAGCTGAGATCTACTTTTAAAAAAACACACGAAAGCAATCACTTTTTCCATGGATTATATTAATAATATTCCAAACATTTTATTCCAGGATAACATTTTTTTTATATTTATAGACAATATTGTTATTAGTTTTTTAAATTAAAAATAGAAATGAAACATAGAAGAGAGATCAGGTTAAAAACAAAGATGACCAGTGGTAAGCTCCCATGTATTATATACTTTTGTATTGATCCTAAAATATTGATATTATATAACTGAAATGGACACTAGATATTATTATATAAATAAATTGGATAATGCTGATATGCTATTTTGATTATATCTACACTATTCTGATCTCCTTGGATATTAATGTGATAAAATATGAAGGATCCTTTTATTAGGATTATTAAATACTTAATTTCCAAGTAGTGTTTATCTTATTGCTCATCAATATATTTAATGGCAGTGAATTGCATTGACAATGTCAAATATAAAGAAGCTATTGTTTATCTCTGTCTAGCCCCAATCTGCGTATGGTTCCATTTAGCTATAGGGCTTATAAGCAACTTGTGCACTCTTACTTATTTTTACATTGTTGCTATTTCAATCCGAATTAGTTTCTTGAGAATACACTGAAAAATAAAGTTTGTAATCAGCTAAAAAAAAAGCTGTGCAAATAATGATTACTAGCAACAAAAAGAGGGTTAAGTCGGTTTACAGTTGCACTAAGTTGTTTAAGAATATGTGTCCTGAATGCAAGCAATCAAATCTATTTCTATGGTTGTTAATCCAGTTAATTAATGAGATAAATTTATTTTCTTTGGGGATTGTAAAGCTCTCCTACGAAGCATCCGTCTTTCTCCGGCATACCGATCGCCAAGCTTCTGCAAAGTGGCTTAATGAGGGTGAAGACCCCTCTTTCAGTTCTGGGCTCTCTCATATCCCTCCTTGCCTTGTCTATTATCTGAGTGCATTAGTATGGCAGCTGCTATGGCACTCTCTAAATTAATAATGATCTGTCAGCCAAGTCTCCCTTTTTAACGTATTTCAACTCATTTCTCCAAAGCCAGGTGCAAGTGCCCCCTTCTCTGTTTGAGCTTTTAGTGGAGCCAATTTCAGAGTCTCTCATAACTTGCAGGAAAAGGAATATTGCACGAAGCTGCCTTCTTGCAAAACAAACCTTAGAGCTGATTGTAATTTACTCTGCATATGGTGAACTATTTGCTCACAAGAGGTTATATCTGGTATTTCTCAATGTACAGGCTCCCCTGCTTCTTAGAATGCATAACCAGTGGTTCTTAATTGCTCATCACCCTAGATCCATTCAAGCCCATATTTGGGTTGCCCTAAAATGAAACAATGCAGGTACTCCTCGACTTACAACAGTTCATTTAGTGACTGCTCAAAGTTACAACATCACTGGAACAAAAGTGATTTATGATCATTTTTCACACTTACAACCATTATAGCACCCCATGCTCATGTATGTGATCAAAATTCAGATGCTTGGCAAGTGGCTCATATTTATGACGGTTGCAGTGTCCTGGGGTCATGTGATCCCCTTTTGCAATCTTCTGACAAGCAAAGTCAAAGATTCCCTTAATAACCCTGTTTACTAATTTAACAAGCTCAGTGATTCATTTAACAACTGTGACAAGAAAGGTTGTAAAATGGAGCAAAACTTACTTAACAAATATCTCCAAATATCAAGAGCCATGGTGGCGCAGTGATTAGAGTGTGGTACTGCAGGCTGCTTCTGCTGACTGCTGGCTGCCTGCAATTTGGCAGTTCAATTCTCACCAGGCTCAAGGTTGACTCAGCCATCCATCCTTCCAAGGTGGATAAAATGAGGACCCAGGTTGTTGGGGGCAATCGGCTGACTGTAAACTACTTAGAGAGGATTGTAAAGCACTGTGAAGCCAGAGGTAGTATTCAGCAGGTTCTGACCAGTTCTGGAGAATCAGTAGCAGAAATTTTGAGTAGTTCGGAGAACCTGCAAATACCACCTCTGACTGGCTTCGTCCCATCTATTCTCTGCCTCCCGAGTCCCAGCTGATTGGCTGGGTCTTCTTTTGCTGCCCTGCACAGGAGAATGGAGCTGGAAAGCAGGTTAGTGGAGTGGGGAGAGAATGGGGATTTTGCACTAACCTTCCCCCAGGAGTGGGGAGGGAATGGAGATTTTGCAGTATCCTTCCCCTGCCATGCCCACCAAGCCATGCCACGCCCACCAAGCCACGCACACAGAACCAGTAGTAAAAATGTTTAAATCCCACCGCTGTGTAAAGCAATATATAAGTCTAAGTGCAATTGCTATTGCTATCTCACGTAGCAACAGAAATTTTGGGCTCAACTGTGGTTGAGGACTAACTGTAAAGCTCCTTCAAAATCTACTTTTTACCACTTGGACTTCTAGTAAAAAGGGAATATTGATAGCATGAAAGGGATATTAATAACATGATGGGGAAATTGATTTGGGGATATCCCCCCCCAGCCCTAAAAAAAATCACACAGACCACACCTCTTCAGTTTCAGCAAGGTTCCTCTGCTTGTTTTTCTTCTAGCTTTGCCTAAAAAAATTTCTTGCAAACTGAATGCTCTGACTTAATATTCTATGCTCACACTGCAATATCAGACTAAAGTGTATGTATAACATTAAGACTATGCAGGACTTTGAATTTGATCTTTGCACCTGCTAGAAAATCCCAGGAATGACATGGTTGTTTTAATGAGTTGCAGACAGATCCTACATTCATGTTCCCATGCATTTCAAAGCACCTTTTGAAGATTGAAGTCAAAGCACGCCACACACTTACACAATATAGCTATAGAAACATTAATGGGCATATTATCTTTTATCTGTTAGTCTGGATTTTACTAATGTTTTGATATTTTATCATTTATACATATAATGATATAAATATTTATATTCTAATTTGTAAATCTATCTTCAACTACAATTGAATTATTTGCCTGTTTAAAACTCAGATTAATCCATGGGAAGATTTTAAGTTAATCTGAAACCCTGCTCCATATTTATGTATGTATTTATCCATAAATTATTTACATATTTACATTTTTATCCATGTGTTTACAACACATGTTGTACTCTGACAATAAAGGTAATAATAATTTGGTCTTGCGGACATACGTCAGTTCTACTCATTTGTGTTCACCATCTATGTGAGAGAAGAATCTTTACTATAGAATTGAAAATGATGTTTAGTATACAAATATTGAGGCTTATTAGAAAAAAACTTACAGTATTAGTTTCTTTTCTAATTAAAAAAAGGATTCCTTAAAGAAAAGCCTTCTGGATTTACATATTCATTATTTTTCTGATATGATGAATAAGGTGGCTGGGGAATTCTGGAAGGTAAAGTCCACTCATCTTTGTTGTTACATTTGTGAAACACTGGGCTAATATTTTATGCATTCTGCTGATAAATGGTCCCAATTGTATACAACTCACAGATTTTTTTTCCATTTTGGGGCTCAGAGGCAAAGTATCACATTCAATCCCCCCCCCCCCCCCAAGTATTCAGCTGCTTTACTTAAAAGAGACACAATTCAAATAGTAACATTTATGAAAAATGAAATCAGTGCCTGCAAATGTTAACATGAATGTGTCGATACTAACATGAATATATTGATAACTATCAATGTCTGTCGTGGTCATTTTCAAGTATACTGTGATTAAAACTGAAATCCTTCAAATGTTTTCCTCTCTAAAACAAGCTAAAAAAATTTTTCCCTCTCTCTCTAGGCCTGTGATTGCAGCGTAGCTGGATCCCTCAGCTTCCAGTGCAACCCTGATACTGGCTGCTGTTTCTGTCGTCCAGAATTCTCTGGCGATAAATGCACTGAATGCAGACTAGGCTATCGGAATTTCCCACAATGCATTGCCTGTGAATGCCTGGTCGCGGGGACCGAGCCCCAGACTTGCGATACAGAAATGGAAAAGTGTTCTTGTGCTGATCATACAGGACAGTGCACCTGTAAAGTAAGAAGATGGGGCTTTTACTCTCTTATATGTATTTCTGTTTTTAATCTGTCTCCTTGTAGTAGGTTCTCTTTAGAACAACTAGCAGCTTAAACTAAATGAAAAAAGGGTGCTTCTGCTAGCCAGAAACTCGAAACATGGGGTGTAAGTGTCATTTATTTCAGTAATTCTTAAATCCAAGGAAGTGGCAGCACTTAGACAATCTTTGGTGATCCAGGGGAAAAAAAGCAGAGGAGAGTTGGATCTAGTTAATATTTGGATGGGAGACCATTGGAAATTCCCAGGGGTTTAGACTAGACTGAGAAACCAGTCAAGAGAAAACCATTTAATTATCACTGCCAAAGGAAACCATGTGGAAAGCTTGTGGAGTTACCAGATAATCAAGGTTGGCTCATAGACGATTTTATCCTACCATTATAGCTCAGCCTTCCCCAGCGTGGTGCTGTCCACACTTTCATTCAGGAATAAAACAGCTGTCATTTTCCAACTATTGCCTGTGCTCAAGTTCTGTTGAATTGCTATGCTGTCTTATGGTAGTAATGAAAAGCAACCTTTCAGTAACTTTCAAAAACTATTCTTCCCGTGCACCGAAAAGCATTCTCCTTCTATGTGGCCTGGTGCTGATGGCTATAATAAGCTACTCTGGAGTTTAGCCATTGTGAACTCCTTTTCACACTGAGGCTCAATCAGATCCCAGGTCTTCTGCTTTTCAGTTTCCCCAGATTAATTAAAAAAAAAAAAGGAAGGGAAAAAGTGTTTTAAAAATGATAGGACCTTGAATGTGGTAGCCACTGAGCTTTCTTCTGCAAAAAGGCATCTTATTACCACGTATCTTCCTCCTAGTAGTTATGTAATTTAAAACTCTTTTTTTATAAGCTAGGCTGCAAATTAGAATGTAAAAAAGAATGATGATCGTTTCTAAAGCTTTTTCTTCCTTTTTTTTTTTTTTTTGTTAACAGATGAACGTGGAAGGCATCAACTGTGACAGGTGCAAACCTGGCCGATTTGGACTCTCTGCCAAAAACCCACTTGGCTGCAACAGCTGCTACTGCTTTGGCCTGACATCAGAATGCAGTGAGGCAAAGGGACTGGTCCGTGTGTGGGTGAGTACAAGACTGCTGAGCCATGTAATGCGATCATGTTGTTTCCTGCTGATATCTTTTAGTCAGACACAGAGATGAAGATAGGAAGTATAGAAAAGCATTTAAGCAATTTCTCCCCTGTGTATTTTGAGAACTGGATTGAAAACTATGTTCCATTGAGCAATCGGGGTCAAAAATGTTCCAAAGAAAGTTCAAATTGAATAATAAATGTCAAGTCCTTGAGTAAAGCTATTCAAATCCAGAAAAGGAAGGGATAGCAAATTGTTCCATGCAAAGTTTAACAATCTTGGCTGCTCAAATGCAAACATCAGATTTTTTTTTTCCAGTTTATCTAGAGGACTAGACTAGATTGCAATCATATTAAGAGAACCTATGTGATTTAATGCTTCCAGTTTCCTTTTAATTTTAAAAACAAATTCACCACTGAAAAGTATTGCTTTAATATTTTTATTGTCTTTAGAAAACACATGTTTTTCCACCAGTTTCTAGCAAGGTGGTTACAGATTAGTCATTCTACATGGAGTCTCATGAATCAGGCAGCATACAAATCTTTGCAATAAAAAGAAATTTAATAAAAATACTGATTACTAGGACTGTGCAAAGTTGTCTCATATTAGCTCAAACAAAGCTAATATTTCTTTGAATGCAGCTGCTCCCAAGTATCTCTGTATTTATGCTGCAGCTATTAAAGCATCTGTCAGGCCCCAAAACACCATGTGGTGATTATTCTAAGCTGAGTTCTTTATTGTTTTCACACCTATATACAGACTCTTGCCAAACTGAAATACTCTACTATCTGCATTTACCATTTACTCTGAGAATTATTTGGAAAGGGCTGTCTTCACCCTCTTTCTCTCACACAAAATATATGGACTGTGTTATCTCTTATTCTACTCCAAATGTACACTCTCCCTCCCTGGAATCCTTACTACTACATTCCATCATGATAGACTATAAAATAATTGTTATAAAGCTAATGGCAGATGGATTAGAAAGAGAAAAAAATTCCAACAATAACATCAATAACATCAATTTTAAAGTTGAAAAATTATATTAGGCAGGGAAAAATTATAATAGGTTATTGATGGATTATGTGCCATCAAACTGTTTTTGACTTCTAGCAACCACATAGATTTCTGTCCATGATTATCGCCCTGACCTGATCTTTCAGATCTTCAAGTAATTCATTCATTGCCACTATAATTGAATCTATCCATCTTGCCATTGGTCATCCTCTTGTTCTTGTTCCTTCTACCTTTCCCACTAATAAGGACTTCTTCAGAAAGGTAGGTCTTCATATCATGTGTCTGAAATAGGATAATTTGAGCCTAGTTTTTTCTACCCTAAGTACTCTGAGTTGATTTGTTCAATGATCATTGGGGTTTTTTTGGCTGTCCATGGTATTGTTAGAAGCATTCTCCAATATCAAATTTCAAAAATGCCTCCCTATATTCTCCTACTGTGATTCTTCAAAGTCCAACTTTCATTCCCATAGAATATTATAGGGAATATCATGACATCCTACTCCAAACAGGATGAGAAGTTAGACTCCAAATCCAGAATTTAAAGTTACGCTCTTTTTCTTGGACGTAGCCATTGGAACTTAATGGGATTTTTCAGGTAGTCTCAATAAGTGAAAAGAAGACATAAAAGATCAACAGTGAAGTTCCTAAATGAGCTACTCAAGATTCAGAGACATTTCACATACAACTGTCAAAAACTATAGCCTAAATAGTTATTTATATATGAGTAAGCTATTACAGATGAAACATTCATAGATATTTCATGTGTCATTTTATCTTATTAAATGGAGATTTCAATTTGGGGCATGGTTGAGAGGTTGATTTTCAAGGAATGTGAAATATGAGACAGACTTTACATGAATGTTTAAGTCTTGATTTTTTATTATATTAACTCCCTTTTGGAGCATAATCTCTAAAGCAAATTATTTTGAAACTATCTTGGGTTGCTTAAAAGGATGACAGTATATGAATAAAAGAAATAGAAATCTTATAAATTATCTGAAAACCCTGCAAATAAACCTAGCTACAATATTGCATTGGTGTACTATAGGTTATACAAAAATCTGTGGGCTTTAATATTTAGAAGCTTACAACTGAATATAAAGTAACTGGAAGATTATGAAATTTGCTCTCTAAACTAGACAATGTTTCAGGAATATTATAAAAAGGGGGAATTTGCAATTTCAGTCTATGCTTTAAAAGTGATGGTCTCTTTTTTGCAGAGTTTCTGCAGGCACTTACTGAAAGGTGTTTGGAAACTGAACTGATAAAGGAAAGGCTCAGACATTAAAACAATGTTCAACCTAGAGATGGTTACTAAAAAAAAAGGGTGTTATGCCCAGTAATTGAAGACGTTGATCCATACATTAAATCTTTAAAACAGTCAAGAATTGCTGGGGGGGGGGGTTTCCAAGGATGTAACCCCAATAAACTCTGCTGACCAGGGCAGTGACATGAATAAAAGGAAAAGGAGAAAAAAACACACCATGTGAATGTTCTTTTAGCCCTTATCACTCTCGGACAAATATTACCATAAATAAGAGAATCTCAACTATTCCAAATGTTGTTGAGGAGATAGATATTGGTGAGAGACACTAAACGCCAACTCCTTCCTGCCGCATCGCTTCGGCATCCTTATTAGCAAATGAGGCAAATTTGAGGGGTTCACATGATTCTTGTTTGCAAAAGAATATAGAAGCCTTGGGAGAACCACATGTGCTTTTTAATTTTTCCATCAAGTGGGCCTCCAATTTATTACTACTGAAAGAATTTCTATCTACTTCAAATGAAGTACTGACAATTCTTACCAAATTGGTCAAAATTGGACCACAGAAAAACATAGTATAGTATTTGATAATATTTTACTAATGTATAATCATTTCCAAATCTAATTTGTATAGCCACCTACCTCACCCTTTTATGACATTTTCACTGTGAAAGTGAACATTTTCCTATGTATTTATCTAATTTATATAGCCACCCATCTCATAGCAAGTGACCATAGACAATGTGTCACAAAACTAAAAATAAATATTTAAAATTATTACCATGAACATTGGTAATGATTTTAATGTTTAAAAACATTAAAAACACTATAAAACAGATTAAACCAGAATAGACAAAAAGATGTTGATAATAACAGTAATAAAGTAACATCACTAGTTCAGCTTCCCCTGACATAACTAGGTCTCGAGGGACCTTCAGAACCTCAAAAGTGGTGAGAAGATTCACAGCATAAAAATTTAACTGATTTCTTATGGCTGATAGGATAATACTGTATAACTTATTCAATAAACTTTGTTTGTTTACATGGAAGTAAGTCCACTGTATTGAATGGGACTAACTCTCTAATGTTAAAGAGCACAGACTTGCATAATCAAAGCTTCACCTCTCCTATATCTTAGGAAAGTAGAAATGTGCATGATTTAAAATGTCAATTTAAAATTTCCCTAATGATCAATTATCCCTCTTTTCAGTTCTCGTATTTAAATGAGGCTTGCAGTTTCACTCAGCAGTGTTTCTGAGCACTTAGAACTTCTAAGTATTCCAATCTATTTTAGAATAGTGAAGTGCAACTGGAAAATTTTCTGATGTAGAGATACCATGAATGGAGTTGTATATTTCAAATAAACCAGTTTCTTGCTGATTAGCATGTTTAATGCATGGAATACAGGAACACCTCCAGAGGCAAGGCAGGCACTTCACTTCATTTTGGCATTAGCATTTCAAAGAAGTGTGTTACTGAATCTGCTGGAAATATTGCAGAGAAAGAACAATGCCAGTCCAGAAATTCTTCACTTCTTTGCTCAGCCCTTATTCTATGAAGTTTCATAAAGGAACAGATGCTTTCATGGATAGTTTTCATTGCTTAATTCAATTGCTATGAATGACATATGGTAGATACTTGTAATTATTTATTTGTTCAATTTATAGAGCCACCCATCTCAAGTATGTGACTCGAGTCAACTCTCACTAAAAACAAATAAAATATAAACAAATATTAAAATAGAACAAGACATAAAGCATATAACAGATAAAGAATCATAAAAAGCCCTCAAAATAACCATAAAACATGCCCAGGACTCGGTCACCAAATCAGGTTTATTTAGAACATAGAATAGTTGAGTTGGAAGGGACCCTGGAGATCTTCTAGTTCAGTGGTTCCCAACCTTTTTTTCGCCCCGCACCCCTAAAGAAATTTCACTCGAACCTCGCACCCCCTGAAAATAAAAATGCCAACATACAGCCAATATCCTATTATTTACCTGGACTTTTCTCGCACCCCCTGGAATATCGTCTCGCACCCCCAGGGGGTACGAGCACCCCAGGTTGGGAACCCCTGTTCTAGTCCAACCCCTGCTTGAGCAGGAGACCCTATACCATTCCAGATTGTCCAGTCTCTTTTTGAAAGCCTCCAGCAATAGATCACCCACAATTTCTGAAGGCAAGTTGTTCCATTGGTCAATTGTTCTCACCATTAGGAAATATCTCCTTAGTTCTAGGTTGTTTCTCTCCTTGGTTAGTTTCCATCCATTCTTTCTCATCTTGACTTTTGGTGGTTTGGAAAAAAGTTTGACCGCCTTGCCTTTGTAGGAGCCCCTCAAATATTAGAACATTGGTATCATATTCCCTCTAATCCTTTTCATTAGACTAGACATACCCGATTCCTATAACTTCAGATGTTTTAGCATCCCTCCCCTAATTATTCTTGTTGCTCTTCTCTGCACTCTTTCCACAGACTCAACATCTTTTTTTTTATTGTGGTGTCTAGAACTGGATCCAGTATTCCAAGTGTGAATACTTGGAATACAAAATGCAAAATATTTATAGTGTAACAGAATACAACATAAAAAAACAACGAAAGCAGGTCTTCAAAGTTTTTAAAAAGGCCAACAAGGTGGGGCCAACCCAATAGTAGGGATGATATTCCAGGAGGTGGATACCATGGCAGATAAGATTCTACCCTCCTTGGCTGATGGTACCTGTAATATGCCTGTCTTGCTGGATCAGACAGGACACATACAAACAACCAGGAAGAGACATTTCCATAAGTAAACCATTGTCATCCATTTAAAAGTAACTATCAGCATCTTGAGTTGCATCTGTAGGCAAACTGGTATATTCTGTTTCTTACCCAGACTCATGGTTACTATATACAACTAATATCTATTCATGTATTTTGGATGAGGGATAGGCCCGAATATTAATTACACTTAAGTTATTTCTGATTTCTCTGATTACTTTTGCAACTGTAAATCTTCAGTGATGGATGGGATCACAGTGCCCATCAAACAGATGCAATCTGGGCATCCTCTAAACTCACAATTCTTGCTCAAGTAGCAGTTGTGGCTAGGAGGGTCTTTTCATGACTTTGTGCTGTGTGCCAGTTACATACATTCCTGAATCCTGGAGGCTCTGTTCCCATGTCCTAGACACCTCCAGATTGGACTGTACATAGGGCTTCCCTTGACAAGTGCTCAGAAGCTTCAGCTAATGCAGAATGCCAGGGGGTAGATTGTATGGGTGCTCATAGGCCAGAATATATTAAACTTCTGCTCTGTGAAGTGCTTCGGCTGCCAGTTTGTTTCTGAGACTAATTCAAGGTGCTGGTTTTAACCTTTAATCTTTCATGTATTTTATTATTATATCTATTCCATTATATATTAGTCATTACAGTATGTATTTTATATAGATATCATTGTTTGATAAATATTTTAACAATAATTTTCTACAGAACAGAGTTTAAGATAGAGATAGAAGTAGATATTGATCTATTCATTCTCATTTAGCTGACTCTGAAGCCAGACCAGGTTGTCCTTCCTTTGGCTGATGAAAATGTCCAGCACCAAACTACCAAAGGGATTATATACCAATATCCAGAAACAATTGCAAATATTGATTTAGTAATGCAAGATCTACATTCAGAACCATTTTATTGGAGGCTTCCAGAACAATTCGAAGGAAAGAAGGTAAAGGATGGGAATTCTAATTACAGTTTATATTTTGTCATTTCTTTTCTTTTTCCCCCAACAAAGATTAGAAAGACTTTGAAAGTACTAATGAAAAGTTACCTTTTTATTGTCATAACTATTAATTCTCTCTGATTATTTTCCATTAAAAGAGAAACCAGATAATGAAATATTATTCATTTTATTATTATCAAGCTAATTAACAGAATTAAAATAATTAAAAAAATATAGTGTAACCTCATAATAATCATGGTAATAGGGAAAAAGAGAAATGAAATGAAAAGGAGATTTGGAGTATCATGTTAAAAATAGATTATCTCCCCCCTAAATAATCATCTTGCTTAAAAACCTTTTCCTTGCCTCTTTGTCAGGAAGAAAACCCTGCTAAAACTTAATTCAAATACTGACATGTCTACAATCCACTGCTTAAAGTCATGTATCACTTTGTTTTCCTAATATTTTATAATAATTCTTCCAGCCAGTTACCCTACTTGAAAACAAAGCTAAAGAAAGAATTTTGTTAGAAACCTTCATTGGAAAGTATGACCTTTAGGCAGGTCCAATTTTTTTAGCCCATGACTCTGTAATATTATTCTGCTAAGGCTAATATCAGAGATATAGCTAAGATACCTGATATCTAAAAGAAAACTATATAGAACAAATTTTTAATTTTAGAATGTAAATGTATAATATACTCAAAAAGTTAAAATCATGAGTGGAGCTGTGTTTCAAAGCTTCATTCAATACTTTAAGAATTCCCTTTAATTATAATGATGAATAGAATTCCCCTGAAGCTATGGAAGTCGTATTTTGATAGTGGAAAAAGAAATATAAAGTATGATAATCCAAGTTCTTGTGTCACTTGACCTTATTTGTGTTGTGATTATCCACTCCCAAACTCAATTACCTTTTAGTTGGTCTAGCCTTATCAGCTATACAGAGATAGGAAATAATACCCTTAGGAAGCCTAAAAGTTCCAGCAAGATAGTCACATTGATGGAAGAGTACTGAGATGTCCATAATGGATGAATGGATTGTAAAAATGTAGGAATTGGTAGAAACAGTAAAACTGACCTATTTGGTCAAGGAGAAAACAAGCACTTTAAAAAAAATAGAAAACTTTTATGAGTTTTTTGCTAAAAGAAGAAAAAAGTGAACATATGATTTATGAATTTAACGATTGAAAAGATGAAAATTGGAAAGTTGGAAGTCAATATATTTTATAACCTTGGTTTTTATTTTGCTTTTTTGCCCATTTTTTCTTCTTCTTTTCTTTAAATTTGACTTTTTGTGCATAAAATTCATAAGTATAAATTTAAAACATACAGCATAAAAGTTCCCACATTATCCATTCTTTCTAGCTTATCCTAATTGCAGGAAATATTTCAAATTGAAAAAATATCCAGTACTTTAGGTATGCACACACACAAAAAAAAAAAAATCATGGGTTGTTTTTTTAAATAGACATGGGAAATAAATTCCACATTCTCGTTTTATTTTATTATATAGTTCGTGTTATTTGTATGTGATACAGTGAAAATCATAACTTTAATCACTCATTTCATGCTAACTGGAAATCTTCAGAGCATCTTCATATACTCACCATTTTTCTTATTTCTTTCTATTTCATTTTGACGGCCTGTCTATATTATTATTTATATGGTTTCTTCTTCTTTGTTAGCTGATGGCTTACGGAGGAAAGCTGAAATATGCTATATTTTTTGAAGCAAGGGAAGACACGGGTTTTGCAACTTACAATCCCCAGATCATAATCAGAGGTGGGCTTCCCACACATACACGGATTATTGTCAGGCATGTGGTTGCTCCTCTGAATGGCCAGTTGACAAGGCACGAGATAGAAATGACAGAGGTAATTTTTCATTCCAATCTGTTTTGTCATTGGCACTTTGGAAACAGTTAAATCATTAGCATTCCTGTCATGACTTCCTTTTCAGTATAATTGGAAATACTATGGTGATGATCCAAGGATCACACAGACTGTGACCCGTGAGGATTTCATGGATGTCCTGTACAACATTCATTACATACTAATCAAAGCAACTCATGGCAGGTTCATGAGACAAAGCAGGTAAGCCTTTTATATGATGCAATGAGTAATACTAAACACTAGTATCAATCGTCAGCGATTGATTCATTTTCACAGGAAAGTCATAAAGTACTTTTCCATATCGTGTTATTTACATTGAGATCCATGGGCTTAAATTTGCCAATCTATGTAAGATTTCAGCTTTCTTTAGCCAGAGTAAAAGGAAAATCATAATCTTGTCAAAAGATAGAATTCCCATAGGGCTCAAAACCTAGAAATTATTCTAATAATTGACCTTTGATTAATGATGATCAAATCACACCAGCAAAGTCGAAGCAGCCAGACCAGCTTGTCACTTCAGAGCACCTTGTCCTAACTTTGAACATTCTGTCTTCTACTGTCTTAAATTGTGACACATGTAATTTGCCATAGATTTTGCACTTCCTTGCTTTTTTTGCCTTGGAAGTTAGCCTGCACTTGCTTCTATCCCCTTTAACCTGTTCTGGTAATGTCCAGCTGTCCAAGAACTAGTTGATCTGATTCAGCAGTCACCTCTCTCATTTTTTGAATTTCCTATTTTTGTAGATGATTCATAACTCATCTGTATTTGTGAACTCATTTTCTATTTTTTAAAAATAAATCTTTTTTGGTCATTCATATTTCCTGCTGTCAAAGTCTAGTGTGAGTGATCTATGTACCATGCTGGCATTATGTATATCTTCTTTCATCTATATTTTCTGGGCTGATTTAGGAAGAGCCATATTCAAGTATGATAGAAAACTCATCTAATTTCGCATTCTTATAACATTTTTATAGGAACCAACTAAATGTCAATGAGAAGCCAAATAGTATCTCATGAGTATAACAGCATTCTTCTGCTATTATCTCCCAGGAGCTGGAATTTTATGTGATACAGGGCCATTGTAACTGATAATCGTAGTAGCACTATCTTCTACAAATTTGTCTAATTCTTATTACAATGTCCAAATCAATAGCTATCAGTGCATCTTAATAGTAACAACTTGCATAGATCAATTATGTACTGTGAGAGTAAATACTTCTTTTAATGACAATCTAACTGAGTAGTTACTACTTAAAAAGTAAATAGTGGAGCACTGCAACTCATGCAATCTGAGATATATTAATCATTTTTCTTCACGGATTTGTATGTATATTTTCTAAAGTGTGACATTTATAACAGCTATCCAGAAGAATATGAAAAAAGACATACTGTTGTAAAATAAGGGGATTTGAAATCAGTAATTAGGGCACATTTATTCACAGCTCTATGCTTTCTATTGTCCTTTCTCCTTGAGGTGATTTCAGATCTCCCCATGTTCTAAAGTTTTATCTTTTGGATGTAGTTCAATGGTTTAAAAGTATGGTTCAGTGATACAATACCTGTCTTGTCTTTGAAAGATGAAATGCTTGATGTTTAATATTTCTTGTTGACATTGCTGGAAGACCACCAGCCTGAGATTAATAGAAGCTAAAAAGCTTCAATTAATTATATCAATAGGAAAGATAATATGGATCAAATATCTGACTGTTTCATCAGTATTATTGTCATTAATTCCTTACAGCATCATTTCCAATACATTGTATAGACTGAATAGTTTAAAACTAAGCCCACAAATAATATGTGTGCGTCTCTGTGACTAAATAGGCAGTCTGGTGAACCCAGATATTCTGATTTCAGTTTCATCAACTGAAGCTGCTATGACAGTAGCTAGGATTTATGGGACTTTGAGACAAAAGCACCTATGTTGTACAACATAGCTTATCCCTGTCACAGAGCATTTTCAGCATACTGTGTGACATCCATGCTGATGGTCAAGAGCAGGGCTTGAAGGAAGAAACAGTGCAAGGGCTGGTAATAATTTTGATGAAACTGACTATTCACAAATTAATCCTAGGAGATATAAAAGTAGGATTTCTGAAATGTTTGCAAATGCAGCCTTGCAGATCATTGATATATTGCAGCAAAACATTATAAGAAACATCATGCTGACAGTAGCTTCAAGTGTAAAAATAGCTTAATTCCAGCAGTACACCATATTAGCTAGGTAATTGAACAGCAGCACTAATCATGTTTTTGCATGAAAGCAACAGTATTATAGTGAGTGATTCAGAAGCTGCCATTAAAAAGCCAAAGCCAAACATTTTTCTCCTGCTGTGTTAATTTTGTTATTCCCCTTTTACATTTCAGGATTGAACGTTGAAACATTTCTTACATTAAATGGATGGAGGGTTGTTGTTTTTTTCCCCTTTTTCCAACAGAACAGACTAATACAATTAATCTAGCTGAACTTGAGCTATGGGTTCTATTTTACTATTAATTAATTCTAGATCCCTGATGTTGATCAGGTATCAGAGTTCAAACTAAATCTACTAAAGATGCTCCAGACAGCAGCCCAAGTCTTGCTGGCCATGAGAACCACTTGATTTACAGATAAGTTTTTTAAAAAGCCTTTATAGAAACTACATCTGCCTTTTCTGCTTATTTTGCTGCAAATGGACTGTTTCTCTTGTTTCTAAGTATTTTGTAACAAAACTAAGAGAACATCCAGTAAAGGTTAGTGGTGAGATGTTGAGATATCTCATTTGTTTTAAATGTTTTAATATGTTTGTGAATTGTTGTTGCCAAAGCTGCTTTTTTAGTATACACATCCATTTTGTCTCTTATGCCACAATGTTTCCCTTTTTCTCCTCCTTCCAAAATTGGAAGAAGTGGTATCTTATCTCCACATGACATTGCTTGAGTGCAACATCTAACCAAGGATAATTAGCCTACAATGAGAACAAGCCAATGACAGATTAGTGCAAACTTGAACAGATTTTCATCTAGGCAAAAATCACACATACTCTTCTTACAAAATAAAAGATAGATAGATTGATGGACTTCCAATGAAGTAGCCACCTAAGATAAAGAAGATTCCCTCTGCTTTGTTCCCCACCTCTAATTTATATCCAGCATAATAACTTTATATCTACATTTGCTTCAGTCACAATCAACAGACAACATACAGATGATGGCTTCTTGATTCTTTTTTCTGCCTTTAGAATGCTGGTGTTTGGGTTCTAAATTAAATAAAAGTTGAACTGAGTAAGTATACTTTTACATTAACACCACTAGCCCAGGCCAATAATGATAAAAATAAAATGAAGCAGACTAACATAATTTTTTTCTTTTCTAAATAATGCCCCAAAGTTGCGTGTAAGTGTTCTTGTCTATCAGTTAAAGTAAAATTTAATCTGCAGAGTTTAATTTATTTTTTTCCCTTCTGTTTTCTTCTGCCAGAATTTCTGAGATTAGCCTGGAAATTGCAGACACAGGAAATGTATCAGGAAGAACTCCAAGTGCCCAATTGATTGAGCAATGTAACTGTCCTGTGGGCCATTTTGGTTTGTCATGTGAGGTAATATACCTCATACCTATAAAGTTTATCTCAAAGTGCTTATGAATTATAATTGAATGGATAGGATAGGATCTACAGTATAATGTTTGAATTCCATGCATGTATATTATTTATGCATAAAATTGATTATTATGTATTATTTATAGTTTGGGATGTTATAAATGATGGTATAATATCATCTTTAATACATAGTTATCCATCTTTTTATTATTATTTCTGTTCTGAAGTCTGATTTAGCTATCAGAATTCTGATATCTATGCCAGATTACTCTCTGCTTCATTGCTCTGATTTCTGAGTGGCTTCCTACCTTCTATTTTATTCCATATCAGTAAAGAATTGCAGTGGAGGAAAATCCTGAAAGGAAAAATTGCTGAGAAGGATTGGAAAATTCTGGAGAATTATATAATCTGATAGACCTAAGGTGTCTTGTAAATAAGAGATATTGGTTGGAAGGGAGGAAGAAGTTGTCTGACAAGCGGAATGGGGATGAAGAATATTAAGGACTGTGTTTGTTTTTCTTATTTCTTGCAGGCCTGTTCTCCAGGTTTTTATAGACTTGCTTCTCCATATACTGGCAGAAGGCCAGGTCCTGCCCTAGGAGCCTGTGTCCCTTGTTCATGCCACAGGCATAGTGAAATGTGTGACCCCGAAACCTCAATTTGTCAGGTATAAAATGTATACTTTTTCTAGATGATTTACTCTATTCCTATTTTCCACATTCTGAAGACATCTTTGCAACTGAAGTCAATAAGAATTATTGGACAATACAATTTTAATGTCACTTTTACTGTCGGTTTTATCATTTTAATTGTAAGACTTACTAAAATACTAACTAGTTTCTTCTAAGTCATTCACATAATGCTCAGAAAATAAGTACTGACTTAACCATAGCAGGAGCAATAGCATCTCTGTAATGAAGAATAAAATAAAAACATGTAATTGCTCCCCAAACTTGATTGGCTGCATTTGCATGATGGCAGAGTTTAATGTCTGCTCTCAAACATGGGTCTCCACATGAGGTTACCATAAACCATAATTAGTGCCAGCCAGGGCTAAGAGTTTCCTCCGCCAAATGGTTTCAGAGGTAATTTATTTTATTTTCTAATTTTATTTGATTATTGTATTATTTTATTTATTCCTTTTCTACTCCCATGCTCCTCTTCTTTTACATCCTCCCATTCAATTTCTTGAGCAAGGCTCAAATGACAGAGAACCAGCCAGCTGAGGCCAGGGTAGAAAATATCTCCCTTGATTTTGTTTTTGTTTTATTTTTAATGGAAGAATATGGGACTCTTCCATCTGCATTTGGTTATCCAGTCTTAGTAACACCAATGACTCTGGATTTCTGAGGAGTGATTTATATTACTATTAGAGCTATCTATTTCTGCAATACTTGCCTAAGCAAAAGGGTATGATGCAGAAGGCAAGAAAATGGATCACAAAATTGATAATTATGGGAAAATGGAAAAATAACTGAGTGGGAAAGTTAGTTATCAAAATTGCTTAACTAATCTCTTCTAAATTTATAGTATTGTAGTCAGAGATAAGTAAGCTGTCATGGTTCTAAATAACACACCCATTGCAAGGTTGACATAAGCTTTTTTTAAATAATGTGGACTTTTTGGAGGAATCCAAATCTTGGAATATTTTTTTCTGAACTTAAAGCAGGTCCAGAAAATAATTAATCTTGGGCTTTCAGATTCTTAATAATATCTTAATTTAATACAACTGCAGAACTGGGCAAAAGGTAAGAGGAATGAAAAGATTATTTGCCGCTGAAAAGAATGAGGGTCAATTATCCCCATTTTTTTCAATACTGCTAGCAACAGAAGTTGCACTCCTACTTCATAAAGTCAGATCATGAATCCCCATTGCATTAAAAAAGATATTCTTCAACATATTGGTTTATCCAGGCCAAAATAATATGAGTGGGGATCACCTAAATACTTTTCAATATAACTTTATAGTAATCTAAAATTTTTAGAAATATATCAAAATGGAATGCATTGCAACTTCTCTTAGATATAGTGCACCACACTTTGGAATAAGATAATCCATCCTCAAATGTATGGGCTTTGGGGAAACCTGATCCTGTGCACTTTTTTTTTTTTTAGATGTTAGGGATTTTGAGCTTGAGATACTTTTTGGAATGAAAAGTATTGCTGCATTATCACCAGTAGCTGTGACTTTGCAGTAGAACTAGAATGATCTCTTCTCTGCTTCTCTCCACAGAACTGTCGTCACAACACATATGGGGACCACTGTGAAAGATGTGCACTTGGATTCTATGGGATCGTTAGAGGAAATACCAATGACTGTCAGCCTTGTGCCTGCCCTTTGACCATGTCAAGCAACAAGTAAGTAGGGATTGCTTATGCCCTTTTGTTTGTATTCTATCTTTCCATGGGAGTTCAAGGGACTTATATATCAACATCTCTCATTTTACCCCAACAATCTGTGAGGTAAATGAGACTGAGAGAATCATTCCAAGGTTACCCAGGGACTTCAGTGCTTGAGAATGGACTTTGTCTGAATTCAACACCATAACCATGATCCTACGTTGGCTCTCTTTGTCTTTAATCTAACTTTTCCTTGGGTTCCTCAGTGAAATCCTGCCTATTGTATCACACTGAGTAGTGACTGCACCACTTCTGCTAAATTGTCTCGCTCAGAAATGGCTTCTAGGCTAGTTAGCTATTTAGGAATCCATAAAGAGTTGACAATGTGATAGTCAGTGGATAATGAATGAGCATTATAAAAATTATACTCACAAGTGAAGCTATAGTACAGCTCTCAAGTTCAATGCAGTCACAAGGGAGCTGTAGGGAAGCTTCTGCTCATATTTTGTGCTGCGATAAAAGCATTACATTGCCATGCAGTGGGTTTAGTAATGTATTGAGCCCTTCTTTAATATTATGTTGGTCTGGGATGACTTGTGAAGGATCACATAATTTAAAGCCAATATTATCATGCTGAATCAATTTATCTAAGTATGTCATGCTAATGATTCTCTCATCCCATTATTCTTTTGCAAATGTGGCTTAAAATAAATTTCATGCAAAGAAGTTGATTTCTTCCTCTATTTATATCTTGTATCCTATTTATATCTTGTATCAGTTTATTTATAAAAAAAATACACAATGTTGATTTCCATCTTTTGCAATGCTGAATATCTCACCATTGGATCTATCCTTAATGCTGTGCAGACAACACTGATAGACAACACTGATTTGTGCAGACAACACTGATACTTCATGCATATCTCACACGCGGATTTAAGTATCTATTGACATACTAGCCAATATGTTTCTTCGATTGAAAGACACCTAATAAAGCTCTGTAGACATATGAGTTTCAAGCTTGCAATACTCTGTAAGGCCCTTCTTTTCATTTCTTTTAATAGATTTATCTAGACAAAAAGAGAACAAGCATCACTATTTTCCTGCTGCATAACCCAATTAGTTTATCCTATTTTTTTATATCATAAGCATGGCTGAGAAAGTTTCAATTCCACACAATAGTTTATCATTGATAATGTGGATCTTAAGAACTGTAGCTTATTGGTGGAAAGATTTTGCTAGGAATGAAAAAAAAAGTTCCCAGTTTGAATTTTCCTCTACCAGGTCCTCGCTGGGTGGCTCTAAGTAGTATATCCTTTCAACCTCAGTCCACCCCAACAGAAGTATAGAAAAGGTGCTGACCTACTTTAAATTATATTATAGGGGTTATATTTAGATGAGGCACATGCTTTTTAAGCACTAAAAATGCCATAGAAATATTTTTATTTTCTACTTTTTTATTTTCCAATTATTAGATAATCTATAGCAAATTTAAATGAAAGTATAACTATGCTTCTGGGTCATCAAACCTTTAGAAAGATATTGTAGAAATGGAGCATCTGCAGGAAATAAAAAAACTAAAATAATTCAGAGGCTGTAGAAAAGGTATATTTGGCTTTTCTTGTTATGACAAATGTAAGTAAAAGAAACAGGATCAAAGTTATCAAATTATGCATAGTATAGTGGAAGTTAATTCCAAATCCTAGGAATGTACAATAAAGCTGAGTGATAGCATATTTAAAACAGATAAAAGGAAACACTTTGTGCATGAACTTCACAGATATATATTGTAGCAGTTCCTGTGATTGTGCAATTATTTTTATTATACAGATTAGATGAAGTTTAAAAAAAATAAAGCTCTCGATGTTTTATTCTTGTATGTATGATTTAAATATATGTAGAAATTTTAATGAGAAAAACAATACAAATTTTAAAGGAAAAATAGAGAAAATAAAGAAAAATAATGAACAAATAAGAAAGAAAGAAAAAAAAAAATAAAAAAAGATTATAAAGTTTTGAACCTTCTTAACAGTAGTAATAAATACATTTTACTTTCTGTCTCTAGAATACGTAATATTTTTTTCCATCCATATTTTACTCTTCACTTTTTTCTTCCACAAAAAATCTTTTTTTAAATTTTAAAAGAAAACTTTATTAGCTAATTGAAAAGAAAAAAAGAAGTCTATAGGCGATTTCCAATCACTAATAAATGAGGATATTTTCCTTGCCCTAATTAGACAAATCAATTTTGCTCTCTCTACTAATTTTATCTTCTTCACCAATTGTAATTCCTCCATTGTAATTGCTTCAGAATCTTTCCATGTTTGTGCATATAATAGTCTCACAACAGTAACCATATGTACAAATAATCTTCCACAGCTTTTATCTGATTGTTTATCCATTATTCCCAGCAAGAAAAGTTCTTGCTTCAGACATTTGAAAATTGATCTTGAAAATTCTTTGAATTACTTTGTATATTTGAACCCAAAATTTTCTGTTTTGTTTTTTTTTCAAATCCACTAGGCATGATAAAATGACCCTTCCTGTTGTCTACATAGCATAGATATGAAGTACCTTTATGCATTTGGGATAATTTTTCAATAGTTATATACTAATAACACATCATTTTATTTAAAAAGTGTTTTATATTATAACATAATGTGCATTTCAGTCCTTTCAGCCACATATTTTCCCATTGTTCCATTGGACTGAAATGCACATTATACTGATATTATGTCCAAAATTCTTAACCCATTTTATCATACATTTTTGACATGTTTTTCTTCCGTTTCAAATTTCAGCAAAAGTTTATACATTTTGGCACTTAACATGTTCATTTTTTGTAGATAGTTCAGTTTTGTCTTATGCTGTTCAACTCCAGATGTCTGGTTATCTACCTTAAATGTTTCTGTAGGGTCCTTGGTTCTCTCAGAACATGATAGTTTTCTTGCAAACATTTCATTACCAACAGGGGTGGGATTCAAAATTTTTAAAAACCGGTTCGGTGGCCGTGGCTTAGGTGGTGGTCATGGCTTGGTGGTCATGTGACTGGGTGGACATGGCTTGGTGGTCATGTTACTGGCTGGGTGTTAATCTGGGTCAGCATTTTTTGTACAAATCATTGCAAATATAAAGACTCATACTTCCATCAGTTGAATTCTTCCTGCTTCTCTTGATTCACATATTAGATCACCACTATTAAAGACTGAACCTTCTCTCATTATCATACTGCCCTACAATTATAATTTTATCAGTATCATAGCTGCCATTATTGTTAGACCCCTTTCTAACAAACTATATAGGAATTCTATTATATGTATATGTTAATGTTCAGAAAAGTAGTTTTGCAAGCAGAAAGTATTCTGCCTTCTCAAAGCTCACTCTAATTTCAAATGATGCATTTTTGACATTTTTATATGAACTTTTGATAGGGAAAGCTTGGGATAGGGAAAAATTAAATTTATCAGCTTTGTTTTTCAATGAATCTACTTATTTCAAACTTGCCTCTGCTGGATATGAATGCTGGTAGTTTTAATCTCAAAACACCTGGTTCTGCTCTGCTCAATAGATTTACACAATAAAATTTAAAGGGCAACATCTACGTGTCATCTCCATATAATAAATAAGTACAGTATTACCAGTGAAAATAAAATAACCCTGAAGATTGCAGCACAATCTTTGCCCAGGGTTTAACATACAATATCATCCTCATCCTCTAGCCAAATTAGTTTTCTGACTGTTCAGAGAGTTGCTAATAAATCAGTCCAGCAATTCCAGTTTTTAGAGCAGATTGGTAATTATCCCCCTAAATTAATACAAAACTGGCTTAATTTTGTATAATATAATATTTAAATGCCGTGGGAATTAAATGCGGGATTTGCCTTAAATGGTCACATTGATATTTCTATGTCCTGAAATATACAGTGGAATGGAAGGGTTGAAATAGAAAGAAAAAAACAGGGAAGAATGAACTTGTTTGGTTTGTTTACAAAGCAGCTGTTACTACTGCTGCTGTGAGCAATAGTTGTACATGACATCTACTGTATGTGTGATATAAATGCATATGTTGTGTTTTATCCTCAATCGTATAATATTGGATACTGAGAATATGTTCCGATGAAGACAGAAATGAACTGACTACCGTATCTTTTGCCCAAATGATCCTGCATCTAGAGCCCCTTCCAGCTAGATGATAAAATAAACTAGAAGGAGAGAGAAAACTAACTTCCAATCTCTTTCCAATCTGACATGAACTATTTGTAATACTTGGTTCCACTGTCAAAAAAATAAAGTAGGACCAAGTTGTGCTAGCATACTGGAGGGCTTTTTTCTTTTCTCATTTTTTACTAATTTCTCCCAATCTCATCTTCCAAAAAAATAAATTGAATTCCAAATGAAAATGGTAACCTGAAAACCGTGTTTTCTTATAATCTCTATTTTATGTTTACAATGCATGTATTCACTTGCTAGGTGGCAAATGTATATACTGTACATTCTTTTTACCAGCCCAAATAAAGTCTGGGGAAAAAAACAGGTGAGAGCCATAAGAAGCTAGTTAGCAATACTATCGAAACCTCTGTCTTCATTTTACTATCAGAACTTAATTGATTAATTTTTTCTTGCAACTCCAATGCTGTACTGAAAATGCTGTACTCAACTCAATGTTGAGCTGAAAGAAAGTTACTCAGACCAACCCAAAAGATATTCAAACTGCTTTCATGGTGATCTTCCATGGCTTCCACAAGCCATTTGGAATAGAAAATAAGCGTATATGAAACTTGTCTGTATTAGCCTAACTAACACAGACAGAGATTAATTCTATAAACTTCATTAACAATTATATTTTATGCTTTTTAAAAAAATCTCCTAAACTATACTTTGACCATAGTGTGACTTGATTGTAAATATTGTTGGCTGAATGTCTGGGCATATTGGTATTAATTTGAAATCATTTTTATGGAAATATAGTATGTAAATATTTGAGAAAATATTTGTATTAAATAAGAGGCCATGGGTTTTAAAAGTGAAAGTCAAAAAATGCTATGTTAAACTGTGACAAGAAAATTGCAGCTTATCTATTGAAACTCTTTGAGCTTTCATCCCATTCAAAATTATAATAAATCTGAATAAATAAAGTTTAAAATTATATCTTCCAAAACAAAATACAAATAGATTTAAGATTTTCTCTTCATTGCATGTCTTTCCTTTCCAAAATCATGTAGATTGTACTTCTAGAAGCATTATAAGGCTTCCGCATGACATAAGTTATGTGATATCTGCCTATATTTAAGTTATCTTAGAAATAAAACAATTTAAATTGATAGCATGACTTGGAGGAGCAGACGTTTAAAGTACCATTTGTGTGAAGCTCTTCTTTGAAGCTAATATATCTTTGGTAAAGGAAAGAATTAACAGTGTTATGTTTTTATATACAAGTTTCAGTCCCTCATGTGTTATTGAAGGAGTTAACGATTACCGATGTACAGCTTGCCCACCTGGATATGAAGGACAGTACTGTGAAAGGTAAGGGTGAGATATTTAAAAGAATCAAAATGAAAGTAGTATGCAACAGGACATTCCTAGAATCAGCAGAAGTGCATATACATACATGTATACATATGCGTATACATATACACACACACTGTATGTGTGTGTGTGTGTGTCTATGGTGCGTGTGTAAGTATGTATGGTATATATACATATATGTATGTGTGTATGATATATAGATATGGCATGTATCTGGTGTGTGTGTACACACACACACACAATATATATATCTGTGTTAGCCTAATTAAAAGCAATTCCACAAACTTTTATCTATTCGCAATTCTAATGAAAGGAATATGTTTTTAATCTCATAATTGATGCTGTAGCTCTAAAGTGATAAATTATGTGCAAGATATTAGCAATCATTTCATGATCTAATGAGCCATTTGATTTCTAGGATGTAATACATATTTCAGTGGGCAGAACTTTTTGATTAGGTGAAGACTTCATGGTGTTTCTCTGATACTTGCTTCATAGCTTTTTATTAAGCAATAGAAAGCACTCTCTTCCCCATAATGCAAAAGACAGCATGTCCATTTTGCATTCAAAAGCATATTGTTTATAAAGCAGAGTTTCTCAATGGTGGGGACAGTATAACTAAATGTTTAACATATTAAATAAAAAAGACAATAATAATAGAAGGAAATTCATAGAAGAGAAACAATAATTGTCCTTGTAGAGAAAAAAATTGAAAATTATAATATATTGATTAAAGAACATAATACTTCTACAGAAATTTCAAGAAGTAAATCAAGCAAATTCATATTAAGCATGTGAAAAAGCTGGCTGTAAGATGCATAAAACATAAACTATGGGAAGGTTGGTGTATATGCTAGATTGGCTTTCATCATGTGCTGCTAAATAGGGAGTAAAAGTACTACTTTATTCTGTATGCATAATATTTTATGTATTGCGAATTATATGTACATGAATTTTGTTGCAATTATTATTCGGGATAAAAAACAGCATCATTTTTAAGCTTGCATTTCTATGTTCAAAGAACATTTTTGTTTAAAATTGTGTGCAATACAAATATGTAAAATTGTAAACAACAGAATTAATCATGAGTATATTTTGACTCATTCGTTCATAGAGAAGCCATTTGCACTGAAATTCTAAAGTTATTTTTTATTCCATTTTTCGATCTCTAGATGTTCTCCTGGATACACCGGGAACCCCAAAATTCCTGGTGGATCTTGTCAAGAATGTGAGTGTCACCCACATGGTTCGCTACCTGTTCCTTGTGACCCTCTCACCGGACAATGTGTGTGCAAGCCTGGATCTACTGGCTGGAAGTGTGCAGGATGTGAAGCCTGGCATGCTCGTGAAGGCATAGCATGTGTTTGTATGTACATTAATAATTATTAACAGTAGATCTGGTAGATTTGGTAGCTTGATTTATTCTTCAAGTGTAAAATATTTCTGAGATAAGTTATTATAATGCAGCAGACTCCTAATACAGTTTGAACATATATGAGCTTTGTTATGTTCAACTGGGTTCCCTAGTTTAATGGTTCCCTAAATCACTGATAATCTAAGAAGGTTCTATACATGTCAAAATTAACAATAAAAATTACATTTTTAATGGCCAAAGTCTCACAAGATTATTAAATCTTAGAAAGTATCGTGCAAGGTTTCAAATGAAAATGGTAAAGTTGAAAAATGTTGGCAATTTTAATTTTAATTTTATTTCATGTTAAACAAACCATAATCCCCTTTTAAGTCTTTCCCCTCCTGTTCTCAAATTCTTTGACAGATAATTTGCACTGTTTAATGTTTATATGTACTCCTTAACATTAAACAGATGACTAGCTGTATTTTGTTGTTCTGGGGTAGGGGGAGGAATTGTATTTACTTAGTCAGAAAATATTTCTTCCCAACAAAAGTTCTTCCCAACCTTTTTCTCCAAGTTACTTTTAGATATCCTTAGCTCCAGTTCAGCAATGACACAGTTGATAATTTCCCTCCCACTTCTTATACATTGCTTTTCTTTTAACATTGCATAAGTTCTTGTACTGTAGCTGTGAATGATACACTGTTCCTGCTTTTTGTCCTTAACACGTTATTAAATTCTTGTTTAATTTCTACACTTGAGCCTATCAAAATGAAATGAAATTAAAATATATTGGATGGGCAAGAAAATGATCAGTAATAAGTGAATTTAATTCCCTTTTTTGACATATAAATTATTCTTAATCAGCTAACATGCTTCCTAATTAAGCAAATATTTGCTTGAAATAACACCTGGAAAAATTTAATCATAACTAGAAAGCAAACTCCTTGTGGAAAAGGTAAACCATATTTTAACCTCAAAGCTGCTGTAAAGGCAGATAAAATATGCACAGATTAAATTTTCAGAATCGGTAAAGATCTAATTAGGTTTTTCTATACATTATAGATACTCATATTACAATACAGAATAATTTTAACTGGTTTCAAAGCAGTTAATATAACAGTTTTTTAAAGCAATAAAAAGCAGTCAAGGCCCTAAGGAAAAGTAGACTCTTTAGTAGACTCCAGATTAAAATTCCACAATATTTTCCTCAACAAATGGTTACCAAATACCAGGGTTATGGTATGGTGGTTTCAGTCATAAAAATATGTACAGCTCAGAATTACACAAATTAAGGAGTACAGATAGTCTTCAACTTATGAACACATTTGGAACTAAATTTTTTGTTGCTAAGTGAGTTAAGTGAGTCATGCCCAATTTTATGACCTTTTTGGCCATGACTATTAACCAAATCACTGCAGTTTTTAAATAAACTTGGCTTCCCCCGTTTACTTTGTTGAAAACCAGCTGGGAAGGTCACATATAATGATGACATGACCCCAGGATGCTGCAACCATCGTAAATACATGCCAGTTCCCAGGTGCCCAAATTTTGATCACAGGAACATCTGGAGGCTGCAATGGTCATAACTGTGAAGAACACTTCTACTTCACTTTTTTCAGTGCTATTGTAACTTGTAAATGGTCACTGAACAAGTGGTTGTAAGTCAAGGACTACCTTTATCAAGCATGTCTACTGCTAACACTAACATCTTTAAATATCCTGATTTTCAGCACCCAGTGTGTGTGTGAGAGAGATAAAATATTGAACATGTTATTAAAAGTAAACAAAACTGTAAATTATAATACCTGTAACCATTTGCCAAAGGGGGAAATTTATTTTGCTAAGGCAGCTAATTGAGGCTTCTCTTCCTTACATTCTACCTGCTTCACAGGTGAACAGTTCTCACTAGTCAAATACATTGATTATATAGACAAGCGACTTGCAACTTTTTAAACAGAAGAGTGGTTGTTAGCTTTCTGCTACATTTAAACTCATGGTGTTGTATTGGCTTTTGTAAAATAGATGCATACGTGGTATTTTAAGATTGGATGGATGGATGGATGGATGGATGGATGGATGGACGGACAGATGGACGGACAGATTGAGATATAGATAGATGGGACAAGCAGGCAGGCAGGCAGACAATCCAACATACCAACAATAGCTCCAAGCCTACCCAAAGAAACAATTATGACACTCCCCGGGTCTCAAAGGCATGTAACTCTAATGCCTCAATAATTTTCAACACTGCAAGCATGCTTTAGCTCAAGCAAGTTCACCTTTAGAGTAGGCTTGAATTCTTGGTTCTCAGTTAACAAACGTTCCACCAACAAAATGTGCTCCAACCCTAAAGATGGGAAGGGGAGCAACTCTTGTATTGCTTTTGAATCCTTCTGAAAGACCTCAAAACCTTCTTCAAAGCAAACTCTGGAGAATTGGAGGAAGAGAGAAGGGGTCTCAAGCAATCATCTGCTTAGGAAATACTTAATTTCATCCAGTGTGCTTCCAATTAATGCCTTGCTGAAATGCTGCATGGTTTTTTTGCTTTTCTCCATGAATAACTGTAATCATCTTGGCTATAATGCTGTATTTGTTAGCAGTGAACACTAATTCTTACTGACAGTTTTATAGACTAAACTGTGGTGATATTTAGTCATGTATAAATTATATAATTATCATTTTGTAATATTTCCATTGCTCCAGTTTAATCCAGTCTTTGAGTAACTATACCTTGTCCCTTTTATTAAAGAAGGGACAATAATGTGTCTCCTCTTTTCAATTCAATTTCCAACCCAGAGATATTAATTCATGCTAAATGTTCATAGACCATATAATAGGAAGCAGTTATTTGTTAATTTAGAGTATTTTCATGTCTTTATGAGCAATTCAGGTTTTTTATCATGCTGAATTAAGTTGGTTTTCATTTGCATCCCTTTTTATAGTATTTATTGTCTACTGCCTTGAGCTTAAATAGAAAAAAAGTAAAACCAGGAAATCTAATAGTGTGTTGCTATTTGTTGACAACAAATGATTCTTTTTTTTTTTCAAAATATAGGCCGTTTCTGCTATTTATTTGCTTAATAGTTGCTGAACATCTACCTAATAAAACTGCACCATTCCTTGACCAGCAGGTAGATGTTATGTAAAATTCACAGCTTGGTGTAAATCCTTATGTTTAACATGGAAACATACTTTCTTTTTGTGTGATAAAGAGAACATAAGAAAATTTAGGTCACTAACAGATTTTTCAGGTATGCATACATAAAGTAGAAAATATTGCCTTCTTGCTTGAGCAATTATGATGCATTTCAGTTCAAGCAACAAATCAGCAGAAGGAGAGTCTGGAGTGCAAGGCAAAAAGAAGGAAAGAAAATAACTGAAAAATAACTTCTCAGTGCTTCCTTGTACAATCCCCAATTGCCTTCTTGTCTCATTAAATCAATTTGTATCTTCTCTAGTGATTTGCTTTCTAGTTCTGCAGTTGAAATGTACTTTTCTGCACTGACCGAAGCAACACATACCTGTTTTTAAAAGGAAAAAAACTCTGTCCTAAATTTAATTGGATATAAAATAGCACAAGATGGGATAAAAGTTCACCAAATGTTGACTTGTAGAAATATATCTCTAACTGATAAAGAACTTGTGCATGCAAATATACACGAGCAGACATGCAGGCAAACGGTTGCTTAGGATATAATGATTTATATCAGGATGCTTTTAGATGTCATCCCCCTACTAAAAAGGGAACATGCAACTTTTCAAACTTCAACTGTATGTGTAAGGATGAAAGTAACAATCCAACAACTGGAAGTTACACCCTTGTAATTCATGGTAAGGCTTAGGGAGCAATGAGAATGACTACAATCTTCATCCTTATTTTTTTAGATAAAGCTTCTCCCCCACTTCCCTCTGTATCATTAAGAAAAGTAGAATTGCTGATCTACCACTATGCTTAGTATTCATTTGAAGTTGCATGTTTAATACAGGTAGTCCTCAACTTGCAACCTTTAATGGAGCTTGCTCATGATGTTCATAAGTAGTGACAGCTGTAAAGTGCGTTATCGTGTGACTTACTCTTATTTTATAACCTTTTCTGCAGAAGTCATTAAGTGAGTGCCACAGTTAAGGAAACCCATTTTTCATGAGGGGACATTTTTTGCAGAAAAACAGAAGTAAATGTCAGTTTTTGGCAAAAAATGTCATAAATTGTGGTTACAGTGACTATAGGATGCTATATACAACCACAAATGCAAGTTAGTTGCCAAGCATCTGAAATGCTGTCTTGTGATCATTGGGGGGGAGCTGTCATAACTTTGGAGCCAGGTCATAAATACCTTTTGAGGAGTCCATCGTAACCTCAGACAGTCCATAAACGACCAGTCATAAGTCAAGGAGTACCTTATTTTCTTTCTGACCCCAATGGTTGGGTTCAGAGGATGATTAAATAAGATTATTATATTTCTGCTACTCGGCAATAAATTAATCCCTGCATTAGTGGATTTATTGAAACTCCTTTTTGTTTTACTTGCTGCCTTCCTAGCCCAGTCAGAGAAAAGGATGGCCTTGCCTGTTATGGGAAGGGAGGATGCTGCAAGCCAGAACGGGGCAATTGGGATGGGCAACGAGGAGACGATTAGTTTTTTGCTGGCCCATATATGGATGGAGAACATTGCAAATGAATAATGGGGAAGAGCCGTTAGTGTCAAATTAAAGCTCTTTCATGAATCAGTTGAGTGCAAAGTAAGAGTATTCTTGAGTTATTAATATATGGTAAATTGTGGACAAGGACAAGGCCTTAGGCAATCATCTATAAATATGAAATTTGAATCACCAGAGAGGGAAGAATATCTAGAAAAAGACTTCTTTGATGATCATGTGTCTATTTTTGGTTTTAAAAGCTTATCTTTTCATTTTAATGGACAAGTCTTCTTAGCACATCGGAGTGAGGAATTGAGAACTAATCATTCATAGGCAATTCTTATTTCATTCAACATTTTTAGTTATTTTTAATTATTCGTTGAATTTCTGCACTACCCAATTCACGTAAGTGATATATTCAAAGCAAGGAGAATATAATTTCCTGCTTAACCATTAGGCAGAATCATAGTCTTTCTGTGTAGAATGGGATTCCTACTTGAAGAAATCATACACATACGCAGATGGCTAACTGTTTACAATAGCTTAAAAAAATAAAATGCAGTTATTTGTTGTATGTCCAAATATTGTCAAAGTAGTTCAGTAATGCTGCCCATTAAAAACTAAGTAGATCGATAAATAGACTTCTTTCACCACAAAAAACAAAGAGATGCTAATTAATTTAAATCAATCATAAACAAGGATTTAAAGTGGGAGCTTAACTTACCATATTATTAAAATTTAACCACTTGAGGGTGTAGGGTTGTATTTTTGTCCTATGAAGACCATCTGGTGATGTTAGAATGGTGGGTTAGCATGTCTAGATAATTTTTTGTGGATACATATCAATAAAAAAATATTGTGCTATCACTGCCTCACAGAATTTTGAGGATCAGACTTCATCATCTTTTGTGTTTTCCTCCTTTCTTTATTCTTACCCCAAAAATATTACTAAGAGGAGAAAGCTGGAATCAAATTACAATTTTAGTAAGATCTTTCCATCTGGAAATGTATGTTAGAATATGTGCTATTCACTCACTACATATTCCCTAAATCATTCTATACCTTGTACTGGACATCAAGTTTCTGCACTCTTGTGCATAATTCCCAACCTTGAGTGTCAAATATTACCAATATACTTTCTTAAAATGCTCCTATAATGATCTCTTCTTTGACTGGCATTGTTTCAGTGGCTTTACCACTACTTCTTCCATTACTCTCTTATTTAAATCTCTGCTATTAATACTGATATATAATTGAAATGGGCCTTAAGTAGCTATTAATTTAATTATTTCAAACCTTCTCTTGCCCTTTGCCATTCTATCCTTCTGTTACTCCTCCCCATCTAAACTAAATAAGATTTTAAGCTGCTCTAGGCTGTGCAATGTGATTTGTGTTTGTTATTCTAAAAATTGTATATTGAACTCTTATCTAAAGAGTATTTTATGTCACATTGGCCTTCTCACTAGATCTGGACAATTTTATATCTATTTATTCAATCTACTCCACCTTTTATTGCTTTATGAATGTTTCGGAACCAGTTACTGAATGTTAGTGGCCTTATATTTTGGAGAACTTTATGTATACTATAAAATGTTTCTCAGTTGAAATAAGAAGTAGTTGCCTCAGATGTTGAACAGGAATAAATATTTTTTATTGTCTTTTCCCACAGCTTGCGATGATGAGTGCACTGGTGTCCTTCTTCGTGACTTGGATCAATTAAATCAGATGACTCTAACTGTTAATCTTAGTGGACCACTTTATCCACCATATAAAATGCTTTATTCTTTTGAAAACACAACCCAAGAATTAAAGGTATAATCAAGTCCATCAACATGGTTTGGATCTCACATAGTAGCATTATTTTAAACAACATATGTTATTATGCTTAGGTTTTGGCAAAACATGGCTTAATGGTTTAATTGCTTTAACCATTATCATTATGATTGATTTTTCAATGCCTGATTGAAGAAAATAATAGTATAAACAAAGCATAGAGGTATTGTAAAATGTTGGAATTTATTGTTGGAATGTATTTTTCTGCAACAACAACAGCAGTATTCAGCCAGCAGGTGGCAGTGTTTACAAGTTTGGATTTATGGTATTGTTGTGGTTCGCCCGCAGCAATCAGGAGGATGTTCCCGAGAAGCCTGTGCTGGGTGTGAGTGAGAGCAGGATGATTCATGGAAGAGCAGCACAGGCGACTCGGGAGTAAGAATGCAAAAGGCAAAAGTTCAAAGGAGTTGGTGTGATGATTACAGACTCTGATTTATTGGACTAATTGGCTGCAAGCCATCTGTTATCTACAAAGAGGGTTATTTGTGGAATAAAGCCATGAACGTTTCAGTTTTGGAGTTTATCTGTGTTTGCTTTCGGAAACTTCAGCTGAGTCAGAACAGTTTGCCTTTTGCCAAGACGAAATTTATTTTTCTTAAGAGATAGATCAGCTGCGAGCCGAGAATGCTTTGCTACAACAACAGCTGGCTATGTTAGCTACACAGGTAGGACAACTTCAGGCTCTTGCTGCTCCACCTCCTCCTCCCCCTCGTTGAAGAAGATGCCTGGTTGCTTTGACAGACAAGTTTGAAGGTAACCAAGATATGTTTCCAGCTTTTGGGGGACAGTGCCAGCTATTCATTAGCTTGAGAGCTGAGGACTTCCCCACTGACCGGGATAAGGTGGGTTTTGTAATTGGCCTGCTCTCTGGCTCTGCAGCATGCTGGGCCACACCCTTGCTGGTGCAAGATAGTGCTCTGCTGAATGACTTCCGGGGGTTTTGTAAACATCTGAGGGTAATGTATGAGGACCCTATTAAGACCCAGACTGCTGCTCGTCATGTGAAAGACTTGCAGCAGGGCCAGCAATCCTTGCAGGAATATGTGAGCGAGTTCCGGCTGCTTAGCCAGGATTTGGCTTGGAATGAGGCAGCACTTATGGACATGTTCCAAGACGGGCTGGCGGATGAGCTGCAGGATGAGGTGGCATGAGTGGACTGTCCTGTGACCCTCACTGAATTGATTCACCTGTGCCTGAGGATTGATGCCAGCCTGCAGAGGCGGAACCGTTGTCGTGCTTCCCGAGCACCTCCTGTGGCCCCTGTTGTGCATAAAACCTCTTTCCCACAGGAGGAGCCCATGTATTTAGGCACTGCCAGACCCTGCTTGTCGGTGATGGAGCACAATAGATGGCATGTCAAGGGGTTGTGTCTCTACTATGGAGAACCTGGACATTGGGTCGCTTCATGTCCCAAGAAGCAACAAAGGGTGTCAGCCCCAAGGCCTGCTTCTCGGACCCAGCAAACTTGTTTGGTTCCTGTACCTGCTCCCCAAACCCGGAAATCTTTGGAACGGGTACACACAGGATTTGACTCATGTCCTTCAGAAGTGGATTCCAGACCCCCTCGGCATTTGATCCTGTTGACCGAAGTGTTTCTGGCCAATAGTTCCCAGGAGATTCCAGTGCATGTTCTGGTGGATTCCGGCGCCACCACGAACTTCATGGACGTGGCCTTTGCAGAAAAGTATGCAATTCCCCAGTGCTCTGTTGACCCTCCTCTGCGGGTTGAAACCATTGATGGCCAGATGCTTATGTCTTGGCCTATCAAGGCCACCACCCAGCCCTTGTATCTGACTATTGGTGCGCATGAGGAGGTGATTCAGTTTTACCTCACTTCTGGATTGCAGCTCCGTGTGGTTTTAGGTTTGGCGTGGCTTTGGTCTCATGACCCCCAAATCTATTGGTCCCAGAATATGATCATGTTCCTGAGCCTGAAGTGCATGGACCACACCTGTCGCATCTGTGCAGGGATGATAATGAGTTTACCCGAGGTGTCTGTGCCTTCGGAACTCCAGGATTTTACAGATGGGTTCAGTGAGCAGCAAGCTTTGAGGCACGCTGATACATATCATCCATTTGTTGTGGAAAAGCCTGAGTATCTGCGTCCAGAAGATCAACTTCCACTCCAGATGGGATGGCCAGTAGAATCATTCTTCACTGTGCAGGAGCCAGTGGCTTTATGGATGGAGATTTGGGAAGCGCAGCGGCACAATGCTTGGGCAGATCAGGGGAGGCAAGAAGTGGGACCCAACTCACTGTGGTCATTTGAAGAGGAACTCTTGCGCTACCGTAACAAACTCTATGTCCTGGCAGAGCCGCTTCAGGGTCTTATCTTGTCGCAGTGCCACAACAATCCTGCGGCAGGGCATTTTGGCCTGTTCAAGACATTGCACCTTGTGTCTCAGACTTACTGGTGGCCCCGATTATGACACGATGTGCAGTCTTATGTAAAATCTTGCATGCGATGCCGGAAGGCTAAAGCAGATTATAAGCGAGTAGTGGTCCGTTCTTGGAGAGCGCTGCTGCCATTGGTTGTGGCCAGTGAGAAAGCTTGACCATCAGTACCTTGGCCCATTCCCTGTAGAGGCGGTGGTCAACCCAGTCACCTACAGTCTGAAGTTGCCTCATTTATTACGGGTCCATCCGGTGTTCCATCGCTCCCTTTTCGTTCTCGAATGACCGGCCTGTCTGCTCCACCAACCTGACCCTTCCCTGCCAGCACCATGTGATGGGGACAATTCATTCGAGTACGAGATCGCCAGTATTTGAGACTCTCGGTGGTTGAAAGGGCAATTTCAGTACCTGATTGAATGGAAAGGGTACAAAATGGAGGCATTTACATGGAAGGATGCAACTTCCATCCATGCCCCAGATTCAGTGAAAGTTTTTCACACTCGATTCCTGTCTCAGCCACATTCAAACTGTCAGACCCCGGGGAAGGGCTAGAGGGATAGTGTTGTGGTTCGCTGGCAGTAATCAGGAGGACGTTCCCGAGAAGCCTGTGCTGGGTGTGAGTGAGAGCAGGATGATTCATGGAAGAGCAGCACAGGCAACTCAGGAGTAAGAATGCTAATTAATGGCCCCTCCCTCTAGGGAATAAAAGCCTGGTTTCAAATGGCTTTTGCCTTTGCAAAAGGCAAAAGTTCGAAGAAGTGGTGTGATGATTACAGACTACAGTTTTATTGGACTAATTGGTTGCAAGCCATCTGTTATCTACAAAGAGGGTTATTTGTGGAATAAAGCCGTGAATGTTTCAGTTTTGGAGTTTATCTGTGCTTGTTTTCAGAAACTTCGGCTGGGTCAGAACAGATATACAGTTTATGTTCTTTTGTTCTAAGTAGAGTTTCCTGTTTCCTGTTACAGTTAAACAGTTAAGCAGTAAAGCACATGGTGACGGTATACTTTGTTTGGTCTGTGGGGCTATATTTAAATAGAATTTCTAACATAAAACAACCTGTCAAGCACTGTGGAAATCAGGAGAGTCAGGCAGTTCAAATTATAAAGATTTAATGCAATCTTAAACTTTCTACAAGAATCTGAGCTATTAAGGGTCAAGGGAAATTCAAAGTGGGCTAGACTTAGATCTCTTGTGGGTGTGCAGGGACTTATGACTGATAATGTGTTTGACCTTTCCCTCAACTCAGCCTGGCCATCTCCTACATATCCTTTCATGTAATATCTTTAAGCAGGCACTTTACATATTTAATAGTTATAGATTTAGCCATATACATGTATGTTTTTTCTTCTACATAAAGATATTCTATAAATTATTTTTATATACACCATTACAGTAACTGAGATTAAGATGCAGCTTCATTCACCAGGATGGAAAGCTTGCATTTTTCTACTAGTAGTATTGAACCCACAATGTAAATTGTTGTTTTTTTTCTCCTCAGCATTTATTGTCACCTCAGCAAGCACCAGAAAGAGTTCTTAATTTGGCACAGAAGAATTTAGATACTCTTGTGGTAGAAATGGATGAACTGCTGACAAGGGTGAGTTTGACAAGCAAATAGCAAATAAATGAATTCTGAATTCATTTAAAATAATGGGATCTCATGACTTTATCTCAGCTTGAGTGAGATAAAGTCATGGAGCCACATGGGTGCCAGGATTCCATCTGTATTTCTTTGTAATTTCTGTATGCAAGAAGAAAGACACAGGGCATTGTTGATATGATCTTTTCTAATGGAGTGATTGATGGATTCATTACCTGCATTTCTCTGCCACCTACTTGAGAAACCCTAGGCTACTCCCAGGGATAATTTAACAAAGACTTCTGGTAGTAGCATTGGAAGCTGTTCTACAGATCAGAAGAAAACATTTATAAAATTAAAAACCTTGAAGAATTAACCAGCACCATATCTATCTACTAATCCATCCATTCAAATTATGTATAAAGCAAGATGTGGAATCAAACTTCAAAATGAAGGGAATGTTTTCAGCTAATCAGTATTCTGCTCCAGCTGATCAATACAAAAAGATGATGATGATGATGATGATGATGATGATGATGATGATGATGATGATAATAATAATAATAATAATAATAATAATAATAACAACAACAACAACAACAACAACTTGATCAGGATGACATTGGAACAGCAAAAGTCCCCATCCACATTTCTAAAATACACAATGTACATTTGTCTTGTTTACAAGACAAAAACCAACATGTAACTGAACCACCTGACTGTTGTTACATCCTCTAACCCCCACTTCTTTAACCTCAAACTGTCCACTATTGACCTCACCCCATTCCTAAGAGGTCTGTAAGGGGCGTGCATAAGTGCACCATCGTGCCTACCGTCCCTGTCCTATTTATTCGTACCTATTTCCTATATTCTTACTCATGTTTATACTTATACTTATAATCTTGTAAGCGATTGACAAATCAAATAAATAAAAATAAATAAATAACAAATTGCTCAAGTGAATAGATGCAAAGACACCAACTTGCCAACCTCTGTTTTTAAAAGCGTCTAGTTCTCAGTAGTTGCAAAAAAGAATAAAGCTATTTGGCAACTGCCTGATTCAAAATCCACTCTATTCCAAGCACAGTTCTCACAGTTTTATTTGTTTATTGAGATGAAATATCTATAGGTGCAGGGATCCCCTCAGCAAGTCAACTGTTTTCAACAGAACCAGCATATCTGATATCTCAGCACATTCGGGTCGATTCTGTATTCTATGATTTATTCCTCCCAGCCTTTCTTTGAAGAAACGTTTGTGGTCTCTTTTCTGATAGTGATGAAGTTTTCAGCTGGTTGGTTACAGCCTGGTTTTCTTTTCTTTTTTTAAAAAAGTTTCTTATTTTATTTTTTACAAACATTCCATCTTTTCTTTAAACAGTGTGTCGTCTGGGTACAAATATCTTGTGCCATATTATTTATGGTTAATTTAAATTCCTTACCATAACAACAATAATTATATTACATTCTTATTTTGAACTACTATACATAATATATCTTATTGTTGTAACCATCCCCTTCTTAACTCCTTCCCCTCTATATTCATATGTTCATTTATGTTCTATGTAGATATCTTCTATGTTGATATATTCAATTTCTAATTTTCATTTTTCTTCTCCAACCACTGATAGAATAATTCCCATATCATATAATATTCAGTTTGTTCTTTTTCTTTAATTGCCCGTGTTAATCTATTCATTTCCGCACATTCTATTCCTGATCATTTTCCCTTCTATCGGATACTTTTCACTTTTCCAGTTTTGAGCAAATACTATTCTAACTGCAGTTAATACATGAATACTTAAATATGTCTTTTTTCTTTTTTAATTCTTTCTGTGTGGGGAAGCAACTTGGATGAGTTAAATTAAAAGGCAGCTTATTTTCCAACCAAACATGTTTCCCATTTGCTGTATCCATGGTTACAGGCGAGAACATTCCAACCAATGATTACAGCCTATGCTGGCATGTAAAGAATAGCTGAAGTTGTCAATAGGCAAGGTGGAAGAGAAATAAATTGTCTTAGAGCAACTAAAAAAAACCTCTTCATCCCCAGTTTTCCAGAAAAAGAAAATAAATAAATTACAAGCACACAAACTCATCTCTATACCATCCAAATGCAGTTTGGGGCAGGGAAGAGCCCCAAACAACAATTGGGCAGATCCCTGCCAAAAGACAAGCACTTAGACTTATATACTGCTTCACAGAGCTTTGCAGTTTACAGTATCAGCATATTGCCCCCTACAATCTGGGTCCTCATTTTAATTACTTTGGAAGGTGATGGCAACCAGCAGTCAATAGAAGTTGCCTGCAGCACTGCATTCTAACAATTGCACCAACATGGTTCAAGGCAAAAAAAAAAAAATTCTTATCAATTTCATTTCAGTTTCTCACCAGCCAAATCAGCTTGCTGTGTTTTAAAGGGAGCAATATGAATTTGTCCGACTATTTTTTTAAAAATGAGTTGTTGCAAGAGGATTTGTGAATTCACTGAAACCATCTTTCCCTCTTCAAGAGCCACAAACAAAATAATATGTCGGCTGAAACCCAAGAGATGGGAAATAGGGTTTGTCTAAAGTTCCCACCAAGAAGCTGGAAATGCCAGTTAGTTGATCTATACAATTAATCTATACAATGGCTGAATGCTGAAATGATGTGGGATCACATAGCTCCAAAATGGATTTTGTGGACAGCTCAAAAGTCCCGTGTGAAACGGCCCAGTGCTAAAATGCTCTTGGCTCTGGTATTTCTCCTGGTAATGGCATAATCAAAAAAGAAAATACTCAAAGCGTATTTCCTTCCTATAATATTTTCTGTGGAATGAAACCCCTAGGACTATGCATCTCTTTCAAAAGATGTGCTTTGGAATGCAAAGGACCAGTTTTCAAATAATTAAAGCAGCTGGAATGTTTGCTTTAGAAGTTGCATCACATGGGGGATAAGGCCAGGATTCTGGAGATGCTAGCTTACTGTGCCAGGTAACATTGGTTTTTTAAATTAATAGGCTTTTTTTCTTGAGCCTTCCTTTTATAATGAAGGTATTGGCTATTTTTATATCTCTGTGGACAAAAATTCTGTCAACAGTCAGCAAATTAAAATAAACGATGGCAATATGTCAGTTGCACTCTTATTTAGTTCCTCCTACATATTTTATTTAAATTATAAACTACTAAAATAAAACATAGAAAAGGGGCTTACTTTTAGCATGTTTTAAGTTTTTTAATTTGTAATACCATTTCTTTAAAAAGGAAGTGCAAAGAAATAATAAATTTTAATTTGTAACCCAACAGAGGCACACAGCAAGAGAGAGAAAAAATCCTGCATCAAAATCAAATCTCAGTTGTGATTTAGATCCTATCAAGCAAACCACATTTAGAAAAGAGGGGTGAAAAGTCTGTTATTAAAACCTTTGTTTTCTGGAAGTAAAATCCTCCTGAGATGACACCTCTCCTGTTGGTTATTCTTTTCATTAATAAAAACTACAAACTACAGAAACTGGATTTTTCGTTACTTATCAGGTAGAGAATTATATCCATAGAAAGTCTGCCACCTAGTGATTAAAAAAAAGAGAAACTGAAGAACTGACCCCACATTGATGAAATTTGGATGTTTGCCGGACAAACTCAAAATCCATATTGGACAATATATTTAATCTGTGCATTAAAAATTGTCCAAGTAATCTCTTCATTAGGGAGCATGTTAGAAAACTAACAGAGACAAATAATAGATTAAAGAAAACAATGCTATTAATTTGACAAAATCAGCTTGTTCAGTTTTCTTAAGATGAAGTGTGGGTCAACTGCCGAATTCTTTGGTTGAAGAAAATTTCAGGAGCTAAAAAAAAATAAATGATGATAAATGATGCACAACACAAAAAATAGAAACCAATTTTGATAGAATGGATCTTCAGAGAATAAAATGTTAGTTCTTTCTTTTGGAGAATAAAATGTTAGTTCTTTCTTCCATATACTATCTCCCCATATAGCTACATTTGTTTGGACAGAAAATACTAGAACTATGCTATTTGAAGATTTAAATAAGAAAAATCCACACAGCCACTAGAAAAGAGATAAGAGTTTTTGTCTCTCTTTGTTACTGCTTAATGGTCAGATTTTTTGTGTCAAGATGTGGTAACTTACAGTTGGTGCCATTTGTGTTTCCAAAAGCAACCAATATTGTTTTGTTTGTAATATTGTATTGTATTGTTTTTATCTTTTTTGTTAAATTTCACTGTAGTAAAAAAAAACCTTAAACCTATTTTAATAATTAATTTGGGTAAGTAAATTTATAATGTAACTAATTGACAATTTACCAATCTATATTAGCTTATAATGGATTCCACACACCAGGAATTAGGTCCTATAAAATATATTGGGCTAATTTCTATATCACTGTATTTATATATTATATTAAGGCAAAAGGTGTTCAGTTTGGATCTAATGTGTTACGTGAAGCCAGTAGGATATGGTTTACTTAGTAAACAAAGGGCCACATTAATAATGTGAAGCCAGCCAATGAGGTTTCCTAGATCAGTAGATTTGTATTGTATTGGCTAGTGGAAAGGAGAATCTTACCTATTTCCTTCTTCCCAGAGTTCTGTCTGATCATGTAGAAAAGTTTAAGCTTCCCCCCCTCATTCAGCAAGATATTACAGAGGTCAAGGGGTCTCTAGGCATATAAAGTAATGTGTTTCACTTTACAGTTTCTCATGTTAATGTTCTCTTTACTACTGGAAACCAACATTCATTGAGAGCTCAGAATCTCAATAATATGGTATAATTTCAATATCATTTTATTTCCATATTTCTAACTGGTTGGATATCTATGATATGAACAATAGCAAAACAATCTCCCTCTAGACAGTGTTTTGTTTTGTACCTATATTCTTTCCAATACACCTGACAAATTAGACCCACTGGATATTGAGGTCTTAACTTCCAGTTTCAACATATCCAAGATTTGTAGTTGTAGTTTCAACATATCTGAGATTTATTTACTTCTCTAGCAATAAGATAATGAAAGGAGAATGGGGAAAATGTGAATTGCTATTTTTGATCTGTCCCACAAAGGATGTATTTAGAACTGTGATTTATATTGCACAGTAGGAGGGTTTGCTGTTGATAAACATGTGGGTATATGTCAGGTGCAAGAAGTCAGGAACCAAGATGGAGTTCAAAAGTCCTGTAAGTTTCTTTCATGCTACCTATATAACAGAATTCAATGCACCTTTGGTGTATAGCCATGCTGGCCACATGACGATGGAAAATGTCTTTGGATAATGCTGGTTCCCTTGTCCCTCAGTCAAGAAATGGAGATGAGCACCGTGCTCTGGAGTGGACAAGGAAATACTTACCATACAAGAATCTGAACTACTAATGGTCAAGGAAATTTGTGTCAAATAAGAACCAACACACTTCAAGTGGGGGCAGACCCAAGTCTCTTATGCGGTGTAGAGATTCTGAACTGATGATGTGTTTGACCCCACCCTCAGGCTTAGCTTAGTCATCTCCTACAGTGTAGTCATATAAACAAATTATGAATTGTTCATTAAAACTATACTCAGAAGTGCTGCTTAAGTATTGTTAACTAAGTGCTATGTAACACTAAAATCAATAGGACTGAAGTGCCTAATAAAATCCTAAGAGATCCATTATTTCAATTGGGACACCAATATTTTCATCAGACGTAGGGTCTTACATATTTAAGAGTGGGAATAAACCCCCTTTTTTTTTGTCCAGAATTCCTTTGTGTCCTATTTTTTCCAACATGTTCTCCACGAAATGAAAAATTGAGCCTTAATTATAGAAGTGGTTATAAAATATAATTGTGTACTTGGGAAGAGTATATGTCACTTCCAGTATATCTGATCAATAATTCATTGATCTCTTTTTGCTTGAGGAAAGGTTTCCAAGTATATTCAGACAGATGGAGTATCTCCTTGTCATGTTCATTAATTACACTTTTCTTTAATCTGTATTGCCAGGCGACCAAGGTGACAGCAGATGGGGAACAAACTGGACAGGATGCTAAGACAACTAATGAGAGAGCGAAGTCGCTTGGACAGCTCATCAAAGTCACCCTCCAGGCTGCAGAAGGTAAGAAAGGGAAAATGCCAATGGTTTCTCGAGGAAAGGAAAGTAGCACATTTTTAAGGATAATTATATAAGACATTGAACAAGAGTTTTATAAAATGAGAGGATGGGTTGATTAAAATATTGGACTTTTGTGTTAAACTACAGCAACTATAGGCAAATAATTGCAGGCTTCCTGCAATCTAAAGAGGGTAGTTTGTTGGTAAATTGGCAATTACGACCACAGAACAGCAGAAATTAAATGTTCTCCTTCAGGAACATTTTTAGTCTAGAAGAATAGCTATTATGATTAAATAACTAATGGGTAAGTTCTGCTTTGCTGTTGTTTATTTTCAACTCAGTGAAATTTTCATTTAAGAGAAGAAAAAAAGCACCGTGTAGTTTTAGTACTCTACAAGGTGCATTAAGAGTACATTTTTAATTTCTCAAAATGGCTTTAAAATGCATTATTTCTTGCTGGAAACGAGCATCTGCTTGCAAATGGATAGATATACATGCATCTTGAGACTCAGCAAATTATATCCCTAAAAGGAATTTGATTCCATGAACTTCAGAATGCAATTGGGAATAGTAATTAGAAGGTATTAAGCAATATTTAGGCATTATAAAACATACTAAACAAAGAAGACCAGGCAGACATAATTTTTATTGTAAACTTGATATCATTCTTAGAATTGAGATGTGATTCCTTTCCAGAAATGCTGAATAAAGTACTTTGTGCACATTGTGTAACATTGTCTGAAATGGTATAGGGTCTCCTATTTGACCATGGGGTTGGACTAGAAGACCATCAAGGTCCCTTCCAGCTCTATTCTGATTGATTTGGGTTGTACAAATAGATTAGGGTCCCATATGAAACATGATGTCCAATCCTGCTGTCTATTTATTTATTATTGGAGTAACTGGATAGATTTCCATTCCCATGCATGAGGAATATCATAGGAACATTTCAATAAATGAAATAAAATTAAATGAATGTGCTAAACATTATCTGTTTGCATTTGGTTGACATTCATAATTTGCCATCTTTGTGCAGGTGTAAATGATGCTGCTTCAAAACTGAATGAGACTCTTGGGATCCCAGAGAAGGCACTTGACAAAAGCTTTCAAGAATTACAGAGTGAAGTTGACAAAATGATGGCAGAACTTAGGAAGAGAAAATTGGAATTGCAAAAGGCAGTAGCTCAAGATGAATTAGAGTAAGTGGTAAAGTGGAAAATATAAATGAAATAATAGTTGATCTTATTATGCCTCTAATTAAATTTCCTTTCAGATTTGGGAGAAATTGAAATTTCAGTGGCAGTTTAAGACTTCAAATAAAGAACAAAAATAGGAATAATAATAAAAAGGTTTATGTCTGTTTGAGAATAGCTATAAGTGGTTATAGCTATATCAGTATATTACTGATGTGTGTGTGTGAGAGAGTGTGTGTATCAGTAATATATATGACAGACAGAGACTAAAACATGAAGAATGGTTGCAGAAATTGAATAGAGAGAGAGAAAAATTGGCTCGCGCTCTCCTCTCTCTCTCTCTCTCTTTCTCTCTCTCTCTCTCTCTCTCTCTGTGTGTGTGTGTGTGTGTGTTGAATCAATGTTATTGAGTCCTTAATATCCCCAGATTCTATCTATTTTGTACAGCTTTATTAATTTAAAAAAAAATCTAGCCAGAGTTTTCTTGGAGTTACTTTTATCCTGAATTATGTTATATTTACAACTATTACCTCAAAAATGAATTTAAGGATAAATTTTGGAACCATGAAGCTCGAGGAAGCAACAGCTTTGGTCACCTCTATGAAAGGCTCCTTTTTAAAACCACATAGATAAAAGTACAGTATTAGTTTAGAGAGTGCCTGGTGAAATTGGCCACTGAAAATTGGAACTAGATCCATCAGTCAGGGAATTTCAGCAGAAATGCAGAGTTTTGCAGGTGAAATGACTTTCTGCTTCTGTGAATCACCATAAGGAGCCCAAGGGTTGAGATTAGTCTACTTCAAAAGATCTCTGCTTTGAGCTTGATATTTACAACTTCTTTCTGTATCAGCCTGATTCACTATTGATTCACTATTCAAGATCCAATTAAATCCAGTGCATATATTTCTACCTTGACTATTAATGATGTTATGCCTGAATCTGTCAGCAAGAGATGGGCTAAGGAGCTGTTTACTACCTGCTAAAACCCATAAATATTGCAAAGCAATATCATGAATAGAAACATGTCCTAATGGATAGCTGCACAAACTAAGTCCATTTTTAAACACCTATCAGAAGGAGACAGAATGAACAGAATGTGAGATCTGTTATTCAACATTGTTTATTGTGTGACTGTAGATCAGCAGAAGACCTCTTGAAGAACATGCACAAGTTATTTGTAGAGCCAAAGAAGAAAACTGAGGACCTGAAAAACGAAGTCAAAGAGAAACTAGCAGACTACCATGATAAAATTGATGATGCTCTGAACCTGTTAAGAGAAGCAACTAATAAAATTCGGGAAGCGGACAGACTATCAGCAATCAACCAAAGAAACTTGACGGCAGTAGAGGTGGGTATTTGGTCATAAAGTCCCTTTTCCATGTATGATCAATCAGAGCAGTGGTGAGATTCAATTTATTGTACTACCGGTTCTGTGGGCGTGGCTTGGTGAGCATGGCAAGGGAAGGATACTGTAAAATCTCCAATCAGAGGTGGTATTTGCCGGTTCTCCGAACTACTCAAAATTTCCTCTACCGGTTCTCCAGAACTGGTCAGAACCTGCTGAATACCACCTCTGAATCAGAGGTGAACTAAACAAGATAAGGAGCTTTATTTCCCAGTTAAAAATAAAGCCAAAATACTATGGATATAACTTGGTGAAATCTTTGATATATTATTTAAAGTAGTATTTGGAGTAAGTTAAAGCAGCAAAATTGTTATTGAAATGGGAAGAAAATGGAAAGAAACTCTAGTGACTACTTCGTGGTTAATATATAACACATATAATGTATAGTGATTCAAATAAACGAAACCCCTTAAAGCCTGTATAACCATTACTTCACATTGTATGTTCATATTCTATTCACATGCACATAGGGAGAGACAGTTAATCTTCAATATTAGTATGGCTACACTTTCTTTTCTCTCGTGTTCTCAAGTAAGGAATTAAAATGGGTACAGTATATGCAAATTCACATTATAAATCAAACCATCATATATCTTTTGTAGTTAAGTGATGTAAATGATTTTCCTTGATTTGAATTTAATTGCCATGACTTGAAAGAACATTATATTGTACATTAACAAATGCTTAGCCATGACAGTAAGAGCAAAGTCAACCTCAAACAAAGATAAATGTGTTCAGTTTCTTGTTTATGTCTCACTCATGTTTTGCCTGAAGGCAAATATTAATCCAATGGTAGCAGGTTCCATAAATATGTTTTCAGGCTACATGGGCTAACAGTCTAAAAAGGGTAGTATTGCTTCTCAGTGATCTCTTAAAGTAGGAAGAGGAAAATACTATTGTTACAGATACCAATCAGAGAGAGAGAGGGAGGAAGGAAAGGAGGGAGGGAGAGAGAGAGAGAGAGAGAGAGAAGAGAGATACTATATAGAGTAGGGGTCACCAACCTTTTCGACCTCAGGGACCATCAAACTCATACTTTTAGATCCCGAGGACCACTAATATGATTTTTTTTAAAAAAGATAATATATTTAATGTAAAATTTTTATTTTTATATTGAATATAAATTTAATATTTAAAAATTAATTTATACACACACACACACACACACATAATATAAAAATGCTTATTTAATTATAACAAAATAATAAATGCTTAATCATAACTGTGGGATGGAGTGAAAGGAAAGGAGGGGCCTCTCTCTCTCATCCTTTGTGGGGGAGAGGGGGGATTTAAGAAGCCACATGGTACCTGGAGGCTGGGAAGATCTGGATGGGGAGGAACCAGCTCCCCATCAAATGGAAGAAAAGCAGAGCCATCTCATATCTCCCCCAAGTCAGAGGAAACCTCTCCCTCCTTTGCCAGGTGTGGCTGCCTGAAGTTGGGGGAGGGAAGAAGGGCCGGGCTGGAAGTGTTAATGAAGACAGGCTCCTAATAACCAGGCAACACCCCCCATTTGGCCTTCACATAAGAAGAGGATTCCCCGCGGCTAAGCTCCAGGTCTCTCCCGCTGCTTCCAAGCAGAGAAGGATCCCTCCCTGTGTGGAGGCCAAAGGGGGGGACTGTCGAGCCTAGAAAAGCTCAAGCTCTCGCCTGCACAAACAGGCTGGTTATTAGGAGCCCATCTTCCTTGGCACTCTTTTGGTCTGTGAATGTAGTCTCCCCCTTCCCCATGGCAAAGGAAAGCCATCCGGACCTTTCCTTCCCTCCTACTCTTCTCCCTGCTCCCTTCTCACCACTCAATCCTACTTCGGGACAGAGGAAAGCATGCTGGAAACATGCGTTGGCATTTCCAACACACCTTTCTCTGGCGCTCACCCACAATTCTTCGCATTCCTCCAGGCCTGGCTTGCTGAGGGGGGAGAGCAGCCCTGATGTCTCTGCTGCCCCCTCCCCAGGAAAAGAAAGCAATCAGAAACAGCTCTCACTGGGGCAAAAGAACAGAGATCAGAAGGCAAAGGCAACAGAAAGCAGCGCTTTTCAAAGGCAGCAGCTTCCATCTTCTCTTGCCTGTGCTTCCTCAATCTCAGCTCTTTCACACCATGTTTCTGCTAGCTTTTCCTGTGCTTTCCCCAGGCACTGATGGCTGGGGCCGTGGGGGGGGGGGGCGGCAGAGCAGGGCGCCAGGACGGATGAGGAAACTGACGCCAACACATAGGCCTAGCGTGCAAGGGGGTGGGGGTGAGGGGAAAGGATCCTCTGAATTGGTGTCACCTCCTGCCTCTTTCTTCCGCGCATCAAGGAGGTAGAGCAGCTGCCAGCTATGCCCTCAAAGGAAGATGTTGCAAGGGGGAGGGTCGACCCCCACCAAAAGCTTCTCTTCCTCCTCGACAGAAGCGCTCACGCGCAAAGCGCTCACCCCCCTCTGTCCCCCAACAAGCCGCTTCCTTCCCACTAAACGTGTGAGAGCTTCTGGCGAGGAGGAAGAGGGGATCAAGCCTCCCCTTCACAACATCTTCACCTGAGGGCAGTTGCTTCCTGCAGCTCAGGAGATCCGCACTCTTCCCACTGCTTCTCAGCCTCCTTGATGCGCTGAGGCAGGAGGCAGCAGCCATGACACAGGAGACTGCAGGATTGCCCCACCTACCTGCCTCAGCATGCTGCAGCCCACCAAAATTTTCTCATGGCCCACTAGTGGGCCATGGCCCACCGGTTGGCGACTGCTGATATAGAGGGTGTGCCAAAGTTACGTTCATAGGTTAATCACAATATATTTAATTATTTTTTTTCAGAAAAAAAATGTTATTGTACTTAGGAATATTCAAAAACCATATGTCAAATGAGGAAGTGTTTAAAAGAAAATAGCAACCAGTCTGAATATAACGTATACTAGAATTTGTCTATGGGGTCTGACTTTTGGTACATTTAAATGCATACATACACATAGCACACAAATGTGTAGAAACTTTTGTTTTATTTGAATTTATATGATTCCACTCAAAGCAAAATATTTTTTTATTATTTAGATTTCTGGAGTACTTTTTATCAAAGGTCATGACACCATGTTTCAAATCATGACGCTATACTTTTGTTGTTTGGGGGATTGTTTTCGATGGTAGTACTTGTATGTATAAAATCTGCAGGAATTTCTTTTTTTCCTTCATCTTGAAGAACTATATTAAACTTGGGCCGATTAAGACTTAACACTGTTTAGAAATTATTTGGAAGAATTACTTTAGATTTTGTACAAACAAATCAGTTCTCTGCTGTTTATTAAAGCATGCTGTTTTTCTTTTGGGATTCAGCCTCAACCTGAAAAAGGATATTACTACTTTAATAAATTGAAACATTTAAAAATGTATCTATAATGCATGTCTTAAAATAGCCTGGAAGCCTGAATTATATCTAAAGCAGTTCTTCCATGTCATTTCCAAATTGTCCAATACTGTATTCATATCTAATTAAATGCAAATCAGTCCAGAGATAATTGTGCCCAATTTCAATGGATCATTTACAATATTTAGTCAAAAATCAAAGGAATATGGCAGAGTCATGGCCAAAGCTGGGTAGTTATCAAGGTTTAGTCAATAAACAAGAAGCAGGAAAGGCCAGGCAGAGATTTTCCCCTGGAAATTAATTGCTCTGAATAAGGTAATGTCTGTAAGGCTTGGTCCATCAGTATGGGCTGCTTAGAATAAATTGACAAGGTTTAGAAATGGGATCATGAACATCAGCCCCCATTGACATCTGCTTTGTCAATATACAGGCTGTAAAGAAAATACCTATGTGTTTGGCAAGTAAATTTCCTTTAGCATCATTAGCTTTCTGATGAAGTGTTTTTGTAATAGGAAACATTGTAAAAGGTCTGTTTTTTAATTTTCTGGGTTTCTAATGGTGCTTCCACCTCTAAATTGCTTGCATATCCCACAACCATTAAAAAGGTGTATAAATAAGAATGGAATAGAAATCAACATAACAAATAACAACATTCCTAATGAACTAGGGCGTAATGAAAGTTCTATTAAATAAAATGTTCCACAATAAGAGGTGACAACCTCATCACACATCAGTTGCCAAGGTCAGCTAAAGCACACATATTTTCATGACCTCTTTGAAGCTTAGCAGTGTTGGGGTTACTTGGACTTCAAAGGGAAGGCTGTTCCAGAGAAGGAGAATAACCATTGAAAAGATTCACCTTTGTCCCTGTTGATGTCATTTGTGAAAGTAGAGCCACCTTCAAGTCAAGCTTGACTTCTGGAGACTTAAACTTTATTTTTTTAATTCATCCCTCACTTTAATCTTCTAAAACCTGGTAAACTTTACAAAAATTATATAGTTATATATTTTATCATAAAGTATAACTTGAATACATACATTTCTTTATTTTCATATAAGGACTGGTTAAGGATTTAATGACAAAAAGGTGCATTGGTCCATGCAGATTTATATACATACATACATACATACATACATACATACATACATACATACACACACATTGGCACAGCACTAGTTGAAATAATAATAATGGGAATGTGATGTTTTATTAATATGTAAAATCACAAGTGTTTCTATATTCTGCATATAGAAAAAGAAGCAAGGTATAGAAAACGGACGACAGGAAACTGAAAATACTCTAAGAGAAGGAAATGACATCCTTGGTGAAACTAATGAACTTGCAAATGGAATCAATTTGGCTGTGGAGGTAAAATGTGATATATGTTTTAAGGGTGGAGGCTATAATGCAGTGCAACATAAAAGAATCAGTAGGCAATAAAAAATATAATTTGTATTTTTAGATGGACTAAGTAGTAGAGATACAGAGGATATGGCCAAGCTAAATGTTATGTTAGAGGAGCAATAGAAACAAAAATTTCTTCCAAAGATTACAATGACATGTTTGAATGGCAGGATTCCTTTATATTTGAATATGTAATTAATTATCATAGCATATATTTTTGGAAATTGCATGTTTTTAATGAAGTAGTGGAAAAAAAATAAGCTGATGGCTTTAATTTCCTGAGCATGTCAGATGCTCAATACCCAAAAAAAAATCAGTCAAAAATGACTCTTGCAAATTAGATTATGTAATTCAACTGTTACTTCCCTTCATGGAAAGGGAAGCATTTTCCTTGTAGAGGAAAGAAGTTGAATATAATGCCACTAACCAATTGTTTAGGGAAGCAGTGAACTTCCCTTCATTGATTGCAAAAATGTTTGGTTATCAATGGTTATCTGGTACAAATTTCAATGAAGAAAAGAATGTTTCACAATATCACAAGACAAGCCTCAACTTTTGTACCTGCATCAGACACAAGTATGCAAATCCCACGGTTGGTTTCATGATATTTCCCCCACTTGTCCTTCCATGTAGACACCTGTGGATAATTTGGCACTTAAGTGATTGGTCATGATGTCCAATGTTCTCTTCCAATCATTTGGTTCCATGGTTTATAATTTTGCTATATTATCGGAAGAGTACTTGAGGTGGGAATGAGACAAGAATGCAGACTGAACCTGACAGTAGCCTTTGTACCCACCCTAAAAGTCAATTCATTTCATTTCTTAGAGAGAGAAGATGTTCTAATCATATTCATTGTGTTTGCTATTCCTCACTATGAGCCTTTTCTGACTTGCATTTAAGTATGGGAGCATGAAGGCAACTACTCTCTTTATCACATGAAAATAATGTTACTAGGTCAAATTAGATTTTCAAAGTGCCAAACGCATTCTAAGTGCAACTTCAGGGGGATGGGAGGAAATGCATGGGCGCCTAATAAAGCTTTGCTAGATTGTGCCTATTGACAGGGAGATGGACTACAGTGAAATGGCAGTTTCCCAGGAAGGAGGGAGCAAACCAAGGAGGAGGATGAGAGAAGAGACAAAAGCCCTGAGTTGGCTTGGAGAAGGAGGAAGGGATTTAGGAAACCCCACTCCCTAGAATCTTCCAGGGTGTATCCGTTAGGCTTAAGAGTAGTATAGGTTAAATCTGGCAAGATTCTGTCTGTAAGGTGTGAATAAGTAAAGAAGCGAACTTTGGCTGGATTGTTCTTAGACTGGACCTGACAGTGGCCTTTGTATTTACCCTAAAAATCAATCCATTTTATTTCCTGGAGAAAGAAGATGTTCTAATCACATTCATTGTGTATGCTATTCCTCATTATGGGCCTTTTCGGACTTGCTTTTAAGTATGGAACAAACATGTCCAGGCAACCTCATTGTGTTTGTCTCATTATATTTTGATGAAAGCCTTCAATCTTGCAAATGCATCCTGCCTTAAAAAGAGGGCAGCCTGTGTTCTCACAGTTCCATGTTAGATTGGTTTGTCTTTCTGATTCTAATCAGAAACAAATACTAGGCATAGAGAATTGGTTCTGGAAAATTCATGAAGAACACTTTTATCAATTATAATGTATTTCACAGCATGCTTTAACTGAAGGCATAAGTTGATGGCATAATGAAATGTGCTTTTTCGCTAATGGGTTCCTCTCATAACTAATTGGGTAAATTACTTTTCATAATGCCTTTAAGCAAATAAAATCCAAGAAATATCATTTCGAATGTGACTGAGGTGAGAGTGCTGATGAAATAACAGTTATGTATTAATTAACAAATCCCACTTTATATTCTGATAAGGTCTGATTAGTTAAGTTTGTGTAGTTAAGAGGACCGTAAAAGTTCAATTCAGCTTTGAGACCAAGCAGGTAGAATCTTAAACCTAGAAATCCAAACCAGAGGTGTCAACATTATTTTAATGGAGGATAAAGCTCATTGATTCATTTCAATATAATAGGAAAATAATCTTGTTATAAAGGGCTATAATTTCTGTGCTTAAACGCTCAGTTACTTAAACATGCTTCTTTTTTTCTGCTTCTTAGAACATAGATAATATTAAGAATGAAATAGGCCCACTTTCTGTTGAGCTAAAGGGTAAAATAGATAATCTCTCTGGAAATATCAAAAAAAAGAAGCTTCCAGAAAAGGTACTGCAGGCAGAAGCCCATGCTGCCCAGCTGAATGATTCATCTGCTATTTTGGATGGGTAAGTTGACAAGATTGTTGTTTTACTTTCATTGACTCTAGAATTCAGTAGCTGGGAAAATAGAAGAAACATCTTCTCCTTTTATTCTTTTTGGCAATTAAACAGGTATCCTGAAACTCCATTATCATGATTGTGCAAGCTTTGCAAGATAGCAATGTCCCAATTTTCCCAAAGAAATAGACTGACTTTAGTTCTTGATAAATAGAGGAAAAAAATAAGAGAGAGAAAGAATTTCCAACCAAATTAAGTCCTTCGAACTTTGGAGTGTAGAATCAATTATCTTTAGCATTTGATGAGTGTTTCATGATGTGACATTGCAGAATTGTTGTTCTGTCGCCTTATCTCAATCATGTCAGGTTTGTTTTGTTTTGCTGAGGTTTTTTCCTGGCTAGAAGCAACCTATAAGTTGAAAATCTGTGCATGTCTACACAAAAGAAAATCTGGCTGACTCCTGTAGGGAATACCTATGTGCAAAAAGACATTAATACATATGGGTCTAGAATTACCATCTAAAATTCCCCCTTGAGATTTTAAAAGTTGAATATATGTATATATATATATATATATATATTTCCTAACAGAATCCTTGATGAAGCTAAAAACCTCTCCTTCAATGCAACAATAGCTTTTAAGGCCTACAGCAATATCAAGGAGCATATTGATGAAGCGGATGCAATTTCTAAAGATGCTAAAGCTCGTGCCAATGAAGCCATACAACTGGTAAGAGAAAATCTCTTGAGGACCTTAATGAAAGCCACTCTCTCAAATAATCTTCTTCAGGGCTTAGATACTAGTATTATCCTTCTATTTCTCAGCAATTATTTATCATATATTATTATCATGCTCATTGATATAAGTTAGTGTATTACAAAGTTTAATACAACTATTAGTAAACATCCATCAAGAAATCTTAAGCAATGGCCCAAATCATCTTGGTAAATTAAATCTAATTACTTTATACCAAGGGTCTTCAAACTTGGCAAGTTTAAGACTTGTGGACTTCAACTCCCAGAATTCCTGAGCTAACATGACAGGAGGAAGAATTCTGGGAGTTGAAGTCCACATGTCTTAAAGCTGTCAAGTTTGAGAACCCTACTCTACACACAACAAACTCTTCAAAATAAAATAGATTCTACTATTTTACTCAAAATATTTGAATTATTTCTTGCAGGAATTCTATAAAATAGCTGTATTGGGTGTAACCATCACCATCCAAAACCTGTTTATGGTTAACAGCATTAAAATAAGGTTTATTACTAAACAAACAGCTGCAGTACAATAAGCATCAATAAAGTATAATCAAACTACTGCTATTATTATTTAGCTTATTAAATCTCATCTCACTAGCCAGATTAATTTTAGTGATTCTTTCTACAACTGATATGTGAAGTAAGTCTCTGATGGTGGAGCAAGAGAAGGACTTCTGCAAATGATTTTGAAGCCTTTGAAGAAAGTCTTTGTAACCAGGTTAATCAATTTATAGGGCTTTTCTCTTTAAACTATTTTCTTTATTGCCATAACTAAGCTAAGATGATACTCTAATATATATTTACTATCAACATAAATCATCCATATATACTTCCTTTTCCCTTTATTTTTGGCTCTTCTTTCACATTTTGTATTTATTTAATATTTATTTATTTGTATTCCAGCTTTATTATTTTTACAAATAACTGAAGGAGGCAAGCATAGCCAACACGCCTTCTTCCTCCTATTGCTGTGATATTGCCTTTATTGGCAAATTCACAATATAATATACATTACAGTAAGTCCATTGCCATATGAATTTTCACATTGTTCTGTACCCAAATTTCATATTTTTTTCAGGGGTAATTTATTTGTTTAATCCCAATTCTCTAGAATGTTCATCCCATGATCAAGATAAATCAGTTATTATTATCAGCTTCTACTGATCTATTCAATCTTGTGGAAACCATTTTACACTACATATAACACAGCCACAAAGTCCTGCTCAAGACTCAAGCCAAATTCAATTATTTAGTTGTGACTACAGTCACTTTTCACTTTTTATATTGCAAATTGGGTGTCTTAACAGTTTCATTATGTCTAATGAACTTTTTAGTAGCCAGTTAAGCATTCACACTTATTTATTAGTAATAATATTCAGCTTTGCATGTAGCCCCTTGCTAGTGATAATGCCTCTCCTAGATCACATAGGACAGAAAATAGAAGAAATATAATCTTATGCAGCAAGAATCTCTATTGCTGAATTTGGCAGTAATTCTCTCTTCAAGAACAGTTTGGTTATTTCATGAAACTGAAACAAATTGTTGACATGGCTAGTTTTTAATAATGGGAATAAAGTGTTACCTTTTTATCATAAAAGGAGAATAATTTTACTATATCTATATAGTATATAAGACAACTATATCTTAACCTGTCCACCATCACCACCACAATCAAGTTTAAACATGTTGTCAAGATTGAGCATCATTCTGTAGATCCTTTTTCAATGCATTCCTAAAGGTCAAACCTTACTATGAGCTGGATTTTTAAAAATCTACTAAAATCCAGTTTTCATTTATCATCCCTGACTTTTGAAAATGAAAATTTGAGTTGGTGCTTTATGGTTTTATAGACAAATTATAAGACAATGAGCAGTGATAGTTACTAGAAGAAGTTTAACATGAATCTTGCACTACTCCTTTAAGAGAAATTGGGTACTTACTAAATACCATCTAGGAGTAGAATCGCTTTTACTTAGGATATAGCTCAATTTACCATTATAGTATCAGTTTGTTCACATTACAGTTATTTTCCCTTAATTTGCCAATGACATGTCTTCCCCTTCATAAAGGATAATCTAGTATAATCCATACATACTTCCAAAAGAGGTGGGACAAGGACAAAAAGTAGTTTTGATTTAATTTAATTTAAATATAACTACATTTAAATTAGCTAATGTTAAGTTAATATGATTTACTTCACATGAATTTAACAATTCACTCTACTGTCATATTAAACATTACAATTTGATGGTAATAATTAGAGAAGCTATGGAAGCTACATCAAATAATTTAGAAAAGTGTGAGTGACTTTGGGTCTCAATTTATTCAATTCTGAGTCACCCATAAAACAACTTTTCCTGTTTGAAATGATCATAGTAGAATGGCTCCCCTCCCTCACAATTTTAGGAGGTCTTATGCATATTTTAGTGAGCAGCCAACCAAATGTATGTATGTATGTATGTATGTATGTAT